GGTCTACTTCCGTGATCTACGCCCGTGATCTACTTCCAGGATCTACGCCCGTGGTCTACTCCCAGGATCTACGCCAGTGGTCTACTTCCGTGATCTACGCCCGTGATATACTTCCAGGATCTACGCCCGTGATCTACTTCCAGGATCTACGCCCATGATCTACTACCAGGATCTACGCCCGTGATCTACTCCCAGGATCTACGCCCGTGGTCTACTTCCAGGATCTACGCCCGTGATCTACTCCCAGGATCTACACCCGTGATCTACTCCCAGGATCTACGCCCGTGATCTACTTCCAGGATCTACGCCCGTGGTCTACTACCAGGATCTACGCCCGTGATCTACTCCCAGGATCTACGCCCGTGGTCTACTTCCAGGATCTACGCCCGTGATCTACTCCCAGGATCGACGCCCGTGATCTACTTCCAGGATCTACGCCCGTGATCTACTGCCAGGATCTACGCCCGTGATCTACTCCCAGGACCTACGCCCGTGGTCTACTCCCAGGATCTACGCCCGTGGTCTACTCCCAGGATCTACGCCCGTGGTCTACTTCCAGGATCTACGCCCGTGGTCTACTCCCAGGATCTACGCCCGTGATCTACTCCCGTGATCTACGCCCGTGATCTACTTCCAGGATCTACGCCCGTGGTCTACTTCCAGGATCTACGCCCGTGATCTACTCCCAGGATCTACGCCCGTGATCTACTTCCAGGATCTACGCCCGTGATCTACTCCCAGGATCTACCCTCAAAATCTCGTTCGCACGACTGTGAGATTCTAGCTCGAAGGATATCCCAAACATCGCCCCTACCGTTTGTCAAGCACCCACGCTTGTTGTCAGCTAGAAGTTTTGATAGGGCTGTCTAAAGCTGAGGACATCGGATTTATCAATTGCCGACATTCGCTTGCTGATAACACTCAGTTTATTACCCTAAGTTGAAAACGGAGAGTGGTCGAGGTTGATCTCCCGACCACCTAGTCTGTCTTTATTTAATATCCCATGTCCCCACGAGTGTCCCGAATAAGCGTCTCTTCGTGGTCTGGTATTCCACAGAATGTCACGTTATTGTTAAGTGTAAACGTGTCAATTTGATCAAATTCTATTTTCTAAGAAGGGTTTTTTTTGCGCATCAGAGCCACCCTTTACACGTGAATCAACATTGACTACATGTGAATGTACAACATCCATATGTAGTTATTGAATGTCCCCCCATAATATTTCTTAAAGATAGCTATCGATCGCCCATTTCAAGCGTTGTTTAATCCGAAAACGAGGCTTGCGTTATAATGATAGGACGTTTTCTACAAGTCCGAACTTGACGTTAAAACAGTGGTGTCGTGCAAAGTATTCCATTGTGATGTAATTAGGTCGCGGGTTATTTTAGGGCCTGGTTTGGTTTTTGCGTTTTGGCAGCACAAGGTGTGTAAGTTTAACGTCTATTTTCTTCCTGGATACCCAGACTTAAAGGACTGGTCGGCCCGGAGTATACCAGCTGTCTGAGTTGGGTAATCATGTTAAACTGCGGCATGGTATTTCAGACGACTTCACTATAAAATCCGGACTAGTACAAGCAGACACACACGCGCGCACGCACGCGCGCACGCACATGACGCTGACACGACGTCATATTCCTCAATGCGACGTTAATTCCAACTCACTCACTCTCACATTGCGAACTGGGCGTTATATAACGACTACAGGTGTCAGGTAAACGTACAGGAATTTTGTTATGGCAAAGAGGGGAGGTAATGTATTATTTACGACTCAGATTCTTGAGGGATTCTCACTTACAAGAAATATGTCTTGCCTCTTATGGATATACTTGCCGCGGCCAGAACATACTGTATGATGAAGAAGCGCCAGTTGTGTACAGCATTATTACATTTAAACCTATAAAATTAAGTTTTAAACATATTTGATATTTGAAAATTCAAATCATACATTTAGGATTAATATTGTATTACATGCATCCTTGAACAGTTTTTTGGTTTAATCTGTTGGGCTTAGACATTCCATTCATGGTATTATACAGGCCGTCGCTTTGTTTCTGGAATATTGCCGAGTGCGACTTTAAACAACAATTAAACCAAACAGAAAATAGAGATCGTTTAAGTATGAAAGAAAGATATTTAGGAAAGGTGGTGGTGGTGTGTGTGTGTGTGTGTGTGTGTGTGCGTGCGTGCGTGCGTGCGCGCGTGCATGCATGCGTGCGTGCGTGTGTGTGTGTGTGTGTGTACCTATATGATATTTTTTTGGGTTTGTGTGTTGGTTGTTTAACACCGTACTTAATTCCAGCTATATTACACACACATACTCACACACAAGAATACACGAACACAATCAAATATGTTTAAATCTTATTTATATATATATATATATATATGATGTATGAAGTATAATGTATTGAAAGGATAAAAGATCTCAACGAAATCAACATTTAAAATGACAGTCATACAAGATCGGATATCGCCTTGACAGTTGTCCGAATTGAGGTGGGTAACAAAAACAAGCTTTCAATGTCATGGACAAAGGGCAACACATCTGAATTCGCCCAAGTTCAATAACACGTCACATTAATAGCGTGTCTGACCACCCCCTGCTTCAAGACACGCAAAAACACTCCGGTGCCCAGAAAACGTCAGACGTCTGATGACGTCACGTGGGATACGTCGCAATTCTTCTTGGAGGGCCTGGATCAGTTCCTGTCGGTCGGCTGGAGGATGTGGTCGCTGTCGAACACGATGATCCATGGCATCCCAGAGGTGTTCTATTTAGGATATGTCTGGGGATCATGCAGGCCACAGCTACACGTTGACGTTGTTGGATGCAGGGAAGTTATGTACGATTCGAGCTGTATGGTGTCTGGCGTTGTCATGCTGATAGAGGACATCACGTGGCAGCTGTTGTAGAAATGGTAGGACAAACGGACAAAGAATGTCATTCATGTACGTCCGAGCTGTCAAATGTCCGTTAACGATCACCAGTGGTGTTCTCTCCTGCTCACTAGCCCCCCCCCCCCCACCCACCCCCCCCCCCCCACCCCCACCCCCCCACCCCACCCCTCCAACACACACTCACCATAACACCCCCTCCACCATACGGCACGACCTCCTGAACGCAACATGCCGCCGTTCGTTCTCCCCTTCGACGGTAAACCGGCTTTCATAGGCGAAGACAACCCTCTGCCAGTCACGTCGCTGCCAACGACGTACAGTCCAGGCCCGTCTCAATCTCTGACGACAATGTTTCACTGTCAATACCTGTCCTAATACGCCCTTATTCCTTGAGCCCTGAGTCGCCCGGCTACTGTCTGTCGACTTACCATATACCCAAAGACATTCAAAGCTGATGACGTCGCTGTCAGTAATCATTCCGGAGATGCAAAGTACGTAAGTACCGGACTTCATTGGGCGTAGTTACCCTGGGTCTGCCTGTTCTTGGTCTGTCTGATGTCTGCCCGGTCTGTCTGTAACGTTGTTACATCAGGATAGTTACATCAGCACGGGAGCAACCAAACGTTCTGGCAATGTGGGCATGGATGGCTCCCATCTGTAACATACCCAAGGCTCGCTTAGCAGTGTCAGTCACAGTGGCATTTCTGTGGTGATTTTGTGTGATTGTCTGACATGCCGTCCATATCATGTATATACCCTTATTGCACGTGTAGTTGCGGCTGCCCAAGCGGCACGTGTGTATCACTTTCACGCATTTTCTAAAAAAAAACGTGCCGTAGACGTGTATCATTGAGCATTGTTGTGTTTGGACGATGTGTTTTGCATTGAAAAAGTTTGAAGTTGTGTTGTTAAATGTTTGCAATTTCATTGGTAAAGTTTTTTGGGTCGTCAGTTTATTTATCAGTTAAGAAATGTAGGGATAGTTGAATTAGATTCTGACGATACAACCTGTGAGAGAGAAAGCATTTCATTTTCAATCAGCTTTAATGCCTTAAGTTACGTGGTTAATTGCTGGTGTCTCGAAAATGAATTATACTTATGCACAACAATGGGCTTAGGTAGGTAGGTGGTGGGTGTGGGTGTGGGTGGGTTGGTTGGTGGGTGGGTTGAAGGCAGGCAGGCAGGCAGGCAGGCAGGTCGGTTGGTAGGCTTGTAGGGAGGGAGGGAGGGAGTTGGGTTTGGTGGGTGGATGGGTAGGTGTGGTTGTGGGTGTGGGTGTGTTGGTTGGTGGGTGGAAGGCAGGCAGGCAGGCAGGCATGCAGGCAGGCAGGTCGGTTGGTAGGCTAGTAGGGAGGGAGGAAGGGAGATAGTTGGGATTGGTGGCGGACGGGCGGGCAGGCAGCCAGGCCAGCAGGTCGGTTGGTAGGCTAGTAGGGAGGGAGGGAGGGAGGTAGTTGGGTTTGGTGGGTGGATGGGTGGGTGGATGGGTGGGTTGAAGGGAGGTATGTGGAGAGGGAAAATATTGTACGAGTCGAAACAGAAACAGAGAAACAGACATAAATTTTGTCACCAATGCTTTAAATTTGGAAATTTCACGAATTCACAATTGTACTTTATGAAAACAATTATACAGAGAAGTTCCTGATTTGTGAAATCATGCATGGGTGTCATCAAGGGTTACATACAAAAGTGCAACTTCGGATTTGATAAGAACCGAAACCGATTTAAGCACTATACCTTCATCCAACAAAATGGTGTCGGGCAATGTTTAGGGTCGGTCGGTGATGAATTGTTTTATATGTGACCTTGCATACTAGTAACTTCTGAATATTTGCAAATAATGTCGACAGCATTGTGGTTAAGCTTTTGTCCTGGCATTTTCACACCGTCAGGTTTTGTAACGAACACCCTGCCACAATAACGCTCTGTTTAGCACAATAACCTATAAACCTGTATGAATCCATTACACTTGAAATCTGAATTACACTAACTTTTTCAAACATAGACTTGGTGCGGATCCATTAACTTTCTTTCGTTGAGGGTGCTGCATGTTACACTTAATCGGATAAGCCACCCGACTTCAGCAGCAAATCGATCTGAGGCACAGTCCGTGCTGGAAGACGCATACATAGAGACGATGCTCGTTGGGATGCTGCACGTCATTGGCATTGTTCTTTGTCTCTTATACGTCTGTCCAGTCAATGGTCAGAGAAGTAGGCTGTGGGAAGTGTGCGCGTGCAAGTGGTCACCGTGGGGGAGCTGGTCAATGTGCACGAGGAAGTGTTGGGGGGTGCAATTGCGGCAGAGGCAGGTTTGGAAGAAGAATACTCCCCAATGCAAACCATCTGCATCCTGCGACGGTGGCGTTGGGGCAAGGCAACTGCAATATTGCAATAAACAATGCACGGGGGGAGAGTACGTCAAGGAAAAAGGAAAAAAGGGACGGTGTAAATGTCCACCTGGTCTCTATGGGGACTGTTGTGATCAAGGTAGGAAATCATCATTGTAGAAATTGTAGTCAATTTTATTAAAATCGTCATTACAAAGCTCTTTTTTATCCACATGTCAGTGGGGTAGTGGAGGAAGCGCTCGCTCGCTCGTCTCGCGAAGGCCCGAGGTTGATTCCCCGTTTGGGTAGCATATGTGAAGTCATCATTCCAATGAAAATCCTCATTATTACGAAGATCCACCTTTAGCACAGGGCGGTGGGGTCGCCTAGTGGTCACAGCTTTCGCCCGTCACGCCGAAGACCCGGGTTCGATTCCCCACATTAGCACAGTGTGTTGCCCATTTCTGGTGCCAGATCTTGTGGCGGTCGACATCATTCAAAACATTCGCAAAACTGTTACAAATCGTTATCAAAAAGCGTCAGGTGGGTTAAGACTATCTATTTGTGAGTGACATCATAACAGTCCAGTATTTGACATCATGATCATCGATCCACGCAATTAGAGGACCCGTGAAGATTCCGGGGTAAAATAGGTCTTCAGCAACCCATGCTTGCCGTAAAAGGTGTCTATGCTTGTCGTAAAAGGCGACTGACGGGATCGGGTGGTCAGGCTCGCTGACTTGGTTGATGCATGTAATCGATCCCAATAGTGTGGATCGATGCTCATGATGTCAATCACTGGATTGTCTGGTACAGACCCGAATATTTACAGACCGCCGTTATATAGCTGGAATATTGCTGATTGTGGCGTTAAACAACAAACAAAACCTAAACGCAATTGGGAGACGTTGACATGCATCTGCAACCCTGACCACTCGATCTCGTTTGTCCCTTACGACAAGCATGGCTTGCTAAAGACCCATTCTAACCCGGATCTTCACAGGGGGCCTTCTTATTAGCTAGACATGACTGGTTTATAAACGTAGAAAACGATGTTATTCTGCGTCTAAGACGTGCTAATAGTTATGCTCCGAAACGTTGTGTTCCCCATAATAAAGAAGTTGACATCCATATATTCTCTTCCTTACAATACCTTTGCTAACTGCATGGACCCCAACGGGATTTACATCATCCCTTCGGCCGCTGGCGATGATTGACAAATTTATCCAAGCATTGAAATAGCACATACTCTACGATTAAAACGTGGCAGAAATGAATATACTTTGAATGACTTGGTCTGACATTCCCTCTCTTGGGGGACATTCATGTTGCACTCCTTCAACGCCCCTCAGGTGATACAGCGCCCTGAACCTCAGTTATCATATATATTCTACCAAATATATAAAAAAGATTTTTTTGGTTCAAAACATATCAATAAAAACCATGCAACAATCCATTTCCTGTAAAAAATAATAATTACGAGAATTAATATCATTAAAATATCTTGACATGCTTGACTGTGATTCTTTCATCACATGGGATACAGAATGGAGTATATTCACCTTTCAATAAATATTAACGAGTGTGGCGTGAATGGCCAATACGACATCATCGCATTATAAAAATCTGGACTGACTATCCAAGTAGGTGTATGAATATTATTTATTAATATAATTTATTGATACCTACTTGGGTGACCCACTTCTTTTGCATCAGATCACGGATGTAACATCTAATTACAGATTCATAATCACTATGGGCTAAGAAGTGGTGTTACAGATTTGTTGAGTGTTGCAGTATCGGCCATTGTGTTACCAATGATAGCAATCTGGCCAGTAACAAGATCATTAAATAATTCAAGAATTTCGATTAAAAAGGGATGTTCACATGACATATATTTAATAGCCTGAAGCAACGAAAGAGAATCTGAAAAAATAATGAATTGTGTATGTGTTATAGATTGGTTATTGATATATATTTAGGGGTGTTAAAATGGCGTTTGCTTCTGCTGTGAATATGGAACTGTTATCTGGTAATCGTGGAGATACTGTTCTGGATCCAATGACAGTGGCACTAGAAACTGCGCCACCATCCTTGGGTCCATCTGTAAATATATACTCTTCAAAAAAAGAAACTTGACATAGATGTAAAACACTTTTTGCCAAATATCTAAAATAATTACATTAAATGAGAACCAAATAAGTCAAACAGAAAGATGATGTGTCTATAATTCGCGAAAACACATGCAAAGCACATAAACGTAGCGTTTGGGGATCAATTTTACAGCTTCATCCAAACGCAACCGCCTGTAAAAAACGTGCAGCAGAGGATCCTGCATTTAGGTATGCAGGCCCCCCTGCTGAATGGGTATAAAAAGCCACATCAACGGCTGTTCATACAGCCCCTATAACGGCAGTAGAGGCGGTGACAGAATGCCAAGACTGAATGCAGCTCAACGGAACAACGCCATTGGGAGATTACAAGCTGGAGCAACTCAGCAAGAAGTGGCCAGGCACTTTGGCGTATCCAGACAGACAATCTCCGCACTGTGGACCCGATACAACAACACCAACAGAGTTGACGACAGACCAAGGTCAGGAAGACCAGGGTGACAACCCAAGCACAAGATCAATACATCCGGCTGCGACACCTCCGAGAGCGCACTACCACAGCCACGTCTACAACCACACAGATCCCTGGGGTACGCAGAATATTAGATCAAACGGTACGAAACAGACTGAGGGAGGCTGGACTTTTTGCACGAAGACCTGTTCGACGTCATGTATTGACCCCACGTCATCTGGCTGACCGTCTGCTTTGGTGCCAACAGAGGGTAAGATGGGAACGTGCAAGGTGGAGAAATGTACTGTTTACTGAGTCCCAAATCCTACTCACGCGTGCTGATGGGCGCGCACGTGTCTACAGACGTCGGGGTGAACGTTTCGCCCCCAACTGTGTGCAGCAGGTTGTCCCATTTGGCGGCGGGAGTGTCATGGTATGGGCCGGAATTCATCACGGTAGTAGGACGCCTCTCGTGCATGTGGCAGGTGCATTGACAGGGGTGCGTTACAGAGACTTGATCCTACAGCCTTACGTTCTTCCTCACGTCAACGTTCATGGCGGACAGTTCCAGCAGGACAACGCTCGACCGCATATTGCACGTGTTTGTCAGGACTTCTTACAGCACAACAACATCCAAACATTACCTTGGCCAGCCCGGTCACCAGATTTGTCCCCGATTGAGCATCTGTGGGACGAGTTGGATCGACGCGTTCGCAGAAGGAATCCACTGCCCCAAACACTTCCGCATGAATGGCAGCACATCCAACAGCGTGTTCTTGACAACTTGATAGCATCAATGGGTCGTCGGTGTCAAGCGGTGATTGATGCACGTGGTGGGCACAACCGATACTGACATTTTCTGTACCCCTGTGACATTAACTGTATCGTGTACGTGTGTCTGTCTAGGTGACACGATTAATGTTTTGAACATTGTGTACATTGATCTTCAAACAGTGTTTCAATTATGGTTTCTGTGTCCTATTTTGAAACAATCGCATTATATTACATTTTGAAAGTTAGTGTCAAGTTTCTTTTTTTGAAGAGTATATATTTATAAGTGTCGTAAATGTTTCTTAATTGATTGTACTTCTGTTTACAAATTGATGAGTTTGTGTCTTATTTCTTACGTTTAGTTAATGTCAGGTCGACGTTTGGCCTTACCATTTGCCAAGAAGGCGATGAAAAAAGTTGAGTTGAATCTATATCTTGCAGTTTAGTATTAGAAGCAAAATGGCAAAATGGCAAAATTGCAGATGTGATTCTGATTTCAAGTGCTCAAATAATGTATCTTGTTGCCATGGGGGTCTTTCTATGAGATATAAACGGTTACATATTGATACCAATCGCTGACACTGGCACCTGCACTGACACCTGAACTGACACTGACACCGGCACTAGCACCTGCACTGACACTGAGACTGACACTGACACCGGCACTGGCACCTGCACTGACACTGAGACTGACACCTGCACTGACACCTGAACTGACACCAGCACTGGCACCTGCACTGACACTGAGACTGACACTGACAACTGCACTGACACTGACACTGACACCTGCACTGACACTGACACTGACACCTGCACTGACACCGACACGTGCACTGACAATGACTATGACACCTTCACTGACACCGACGCCTGCAATGACATCTGCAATAACGCTGACACTGACACTGACACCTGAACTGACACCTGCTCTGACGCCGAAACCTGCAATGGCTGTTATAGCAGCAGATTATAATAATTTTGCAAATCACTATCTATACACCCCCCCCCCCCCAAACACACACACACACACACACACACACACACACACACACACACACCTGCTAAAGGCTAGTCGGACTGATTTCAGGATAACGGCGTTTGTGTACGAACACGAAATATTTGTTTGTTTGTAGTTTAACGCCGCACTCAGCAATATTCCAACTTTATGACGGCGGTCTGTATATTATCGAGTCTGGACCAGACAATCAAGTGATTAATATCATGAGCATCGATCCACACAATTGGGATCGATGACATGCATCAACCAGGTCTGCGAGCCTGACCACCCGATCCCGTTAGTCGCCTTTTACGACAAGCATAGTCACCTTTTACGGCAAGCATTGGTTGCTGAAGACCTATTCTACCCCGGAATCTTCACGGGTCGAACACGAAATATGTACATCCGGCCGCATAATATGTAAATTAGCTTGTGTCAGTGGTGTACTTATAAAGTCATCACTGTCACGAAATATAGACTGTCGTAGTTGCCATTTCATTATTATACAAAAAAATATATCACATACGTCAAACATAAAATGTCAAACGCAGACAAAATGGATTCCATTCGGCGTAAGAAGAAACCCACTTTAAATTTTTAGGTCTTATGTTCTCCTCTAGATTGTCATGGTCTGTCGTATGTAAGCAATTAGCTGTTCAGGCTTCAAAAGCCGTTATGCCTCTTTATATTTTATTCAGGAAAGATAGTTGTGTGTCTTTTTTTCACAGCATGTACCATTTTTGAAGGCACATGTATGCCTATACTTTTGTATGGTTCTGAAATATGAGGTGCTGAGTATAACGCTGCAATTGAAAAAGTTCACACTTCAAATTTCAAATGTTTTCTGGGTGCTGGTAAGTTTGCCTTAAACAAGGGAATCCTTGGTAAAACAGGCCGTAGTTATATTTTTTGTAGCAAGCCAATTAAGGGTAATTTAGTATTGGATTAAATTACTTAGAATGATGCCTGATAGATACCAATATCAGTGTTACAAAATGTTAAAGTACTTGATGATGATGGTAAAAATAATTGGGTTTCAGATGTGAGAAATCTATTATTTTATTTGTAAGTGGCTTTTCATATGTATGGATTTCCCAAGATGTGGGAGATCCTCAGTTATTTTTATTTTCATTTAAGCAAAGACTAAAGGATATATTTTGTCAACAGTGGCACCGAAGTAGTTCTGAATCACTTTATCTTAGCAAATACAGCAGAGTAAAATCATTGTTACAAACTGAAAGATATTTAACTTGCTTAAATGATAAAAGTTAAATCAGAACTTATTGTTAACTTCATTTCATTATTTTAATGTAAATGTATGTCGCAGGTCCAAAGACGGTGATATTGTGAACTCTATATGAACAAACTGTTCATCCGGAGAAGTAGAGGATGAATACCATGTCTTACTTATATGTGAAACCGGGGCGGTCGGGTAGCCTAGTGGTTAAAGCGTTCGCTCGTCACGCCGAAGACCCGGGTTTGATTCCCGATTCCCGACATGGGTACGGTGTCCCCCGCCGTGATATTGATGGAATATTGCTAAAAGCGGCGTAAACCACACACACACACTCACTCACTATATGTGAAACCTATTCCTCATTTAAGGTATACATTTCTTCCCATGTTGCAAGGTATTTTTAAAGACCGTCAGTTCATGACAAATCTGCTAAACTCTGAAAATCTTGATATGATCCATGCTGTTTGTGTATTCTTAAAACATGTCTTTATAATGAGGAATGTGTAACTTGATTTAAAAACTAATCATGTACATCACGTGACAAATGTTAATATCCAATCTGCATTGTACTATGGGCCTTGATGCCCAAATTACTGAATAAACTGTCTAAACTGTCTAAACTTTTGTCTAAAAGGAAAAAACAGCGGTCAAAAATAGTCTCCTGGTTAGTAGTGGCGACATAGGGAGTTCGCGAAAAGTCCAAGCATGTCTTGCCTTACCGGCTTACGTGGCAACATGAGTGAGTGAGTTGTGTTTAACGCCGCTTTTAACAGTATTCCAGTTATATCACGGCGTGTCAGCTTAATGTGGGAGAAAAGACCGAAGTGATGAAGGTCTCAAACGTTTACCACTTCGGTGAAACCCACGAGCACGGGTATGGTGCTGACAAACCTAGAAACATCATCGGGGCGAACCGGGATTCGATCCCACAATCATAGGTTTCTGTCTTGCCCAAGGGACGCAACTCTGCAGAGCGAATCGCGGCGCCTAAGACGACTGGGCCACCCGTGCGCCTAAGACGACTGGGCCATTCGAAAGACGCCAGTGACGAGGAGGGACAATTACCTCGGAACTTTCATATCATTCCAATTAATATTATCTTATATTTAATAAAAAGGACCGTTTCCAATCTGGCAGTGATAGTACGGCGTCACTCCCAAGCTCCCCGCTTATTCCTGGGAATTATTTAAATGTATTAACAATTTTCAATCAGGGTCGAATTTGATGGACGCATTTTTCTTTTTCAGTCGTCTCGTGCGGCATGGCACCTGCAATCTTAAACGCAAATCTGTCTGAAGCGACCTATAACTACAGTGACGTCATCCGCTATGACTGTAACCATGGTTACCGTTTGAACGGGACGTCGGAGGTGATGTGCGATGTATCCGGCAACTGGAACGGAACACTACCCGAGTGCATAGGTATTCTTCAGTTTGAGTATTAATGACAGTAAAAGTATAAAAATATGTCGCGCATCTCCCCCCGCGCAAAAAAACAACAACAACAAAAACAAAAAAACATCATACAAATCGGCGGCCTGGTACAAATATTTTGACGTCATGTTTGACGTGATTGCGCATGCGCACTGTTGTCTGTCACCTTCAGTGTATGTCTATGTTATGTTTCGTTTTCGGTCTGACGTGTCTCTTCTATCTGTGCAGCTGAGGATCCTTGCAAGGGCGTGACCTGCCCCCTGGGTGAGAGCTGCCGCCCAGAGGGAACGTCCTACACCTGCAACTGTCCGAAAAACGCACGGTGCAATTTAGGTAGGTTAACAGTATACCAGTACTTTCAGGCTGTTTATTCTAAGTATGTAAACGTGTGCTATAAAACATTATTTTTTTTGGTCGTGAGGCATCCTCGATTATCCAGGGTATTAATTATAATTCTATTGTAGCAGACACATTCGCTGGCATAGCTTCGGTTTGAGTTCTGCGAGGGCATTCTCATGACGGACACGGTGACGTCGCGTCTAAAACGAAGGTTGATGGGAGTGGGTCGGGATATTTATCAGGTTTTGATATAGGATAGAATGGAAAATAAGATTTATGATATATACGGTACTTAATAACCGTGGCTAAAGTAACGGATTATGCACAGCGGCCGCTACTTGCATAGGCGATGGTGTCGGTATCAATCATTTCTCCTCACGCCTCAGATACAGGACCAAACACCCTTTGAACAGTATTTCAGTCATATTACGATGTGTCAGCATGATCGGGGATGAAAGACTGAGGTGATGCAGGTCTAGAAACATGATCAGGGCGAACAGGGATTCGAACCAATTATCACCGGTTTATGGCGCGCCGAGGGGACACAACTCTGCAACCGGGCCACCCTATCCCCAGTTGTCTTGAAAAAACACATTATTAGTCGTAGTTTGATCTGTAGCATTCACAAAGGAAAATGAAAGGTTGTAAGTTGCTTGTTCCTAGATCTTGCACCGGAAGTTGAAAGTTGTCCCCCAAGCAAGAACATCACAACTCCAGATCGAACCGTACTGTACAAGTGGGACCTTCCCAAGTTCAAGGACGCGGCGGGAGAACAACTTCAGATTGAGGCTAACTATCCAAGCAACGAGTTCCGGTTCCCCTGGGGAAATCGGACCATACAGTACACAGCCATCAAGAAGAGCAACGGACAGAGGGCTATTTGTGAATTCTCTATTGACGTCAGACGTGAGTTGAGTATTGATCTTTGAAGGGTTTTTATGTGGTCAAGGACAGAGAACTATTTGTGATTTCTCTGTCGGCGTCAAAAGTGAGTAGTGTATTGATATTTACAGAGTTCTATATTGTCAAGAAGAGCAACGGACAGAGCACTATTTGTGACTTCTCTGTCGACGTCAAACGTGAGTAGTGTATTGATATTGAGAGAGTTCTATATTGTCAAGAAGAGCAACGGACAGCAATAATTGGGAATTCTCCGAGCAAGAGAGAATATGTATACTCCCCGGGTGACGGAGAGTATTTACTAGTCTTACAATCACCGGGGAAAAGCAAGTCTTTACTAGATCTTACAATCCTCGGGAAAAGGAGCGACTATGAATAATCCCCGGGTGACGGATAGTATTTACTAGTCTGTACAATCACCTGGTGAAAGAGAGTCTTTACTTGTCTTACAATCACCGGGGAAAAGAAAGTCTTTACCTGATCTTACAATCCTCGGGAAAAGGAGCGACTATGAATAATCCCCGGGTGACGGATAGTATTTACTAGTCTGTACAATCACCTGGTGAAAGAGAGTCTTTACTTGTCTTACAATCACCGGGTAAAGGAAGTCTTTACTAGATCTTACAATCCTCGGGAAAAGGAGCGACTATGAATAATCCCCGGGTGACGGAGAGTATTTACTAGTCTGTACAATCACCTGGTGAATGAGAGTCTTTACTTGTCTTACAATCACCGGGTAAAGGAAGTCTTTACTAGATCTTACAATCCTCGGGAAAAGGAGCGACTATGAATAATCCCCGGGTGACGGAGAGTATTTACTAGTCTGTACAATCAACTGGTGAATGGGAGTCCTTACAAGTCTTAACATCAACGGTGAAAGAGAGTCTTTTCATAATCATATCGTCCCTGGGTAACAGTGAAAACATGGACCTGACACATGTTATATGGTAACCTTGGTTACAGTCGAAAAGTTCGTTTACCCAACGCTATTGTGACCTTCCGATCCTCAGTTTTGTCCCCTACCTCTTTGTCGTTATTATTTAGAGAAATATCTTTGTAAGACCCCGTTTAGAGGCTTAGATTTATAGAAAGGTGAGTCTCTTTTATATTTTTTAATTCAAGTACTATTAAAGGTCGACGCCGCACGAACATTTTAATTATGGCAATTCCTGGTTCTAACACATCATTTATTTAGAGAACAGAGCATCATTTGTTCACAAAGAAAATGTCAATAGTCAAGTGTAAATCACGGAGAGCGCATTGTTTTTAATCATTTTAGTCCTGGTTGTCTACGCTTTGAAACATGTGAGGCAAATAGAGGAGCTGTCACTATGCCACTTGTCTGATTAGTTGCAGTAACCGAATCACTGTGCGGCTCGGTGATCCTGTGTGATAGCCTGGTGGATGAAGCGTTTGCTCGTCACGCAAAAGACCCGGGTTCAATTCCCCACATTGGTACATTGTATGCAACCCTTTTCTGGTGTCCCCCGCGCGATATTGCTGGAATATTGCTAATTTTTTACATTGATTTGTCGGAATATTGTTTAGTTTTTATATTGATTTGTCGCTACACAGATCTACGGGCTCTTCCATAGTGTTTTCGGGGCGGTCGGTTAGCCTTGTGGTTAAAGCGTTCGCTCGTCACGCCGAAGACCCGGGTTCGATTCCCCACATGGGCACATTGTGTGAAGCCCATTTCTAGTTTCCCCCGCCGTGATAATGCTGGAATATTGCTAAATAAACCATTCTCACTCACTCACTCACTCACTCACTCACTCTATAGTGTTTTACTTAAAGATTCCGATTCGAAACATGTCAAACTAACAACCCTGCTATGATTGTGCATGAATCGTAATACCACGAAAACTGCAACACGATTCCCTCTCTCAACCACTTAATTGCCTTCAAATATGGGTTCTCGATCATACAACTTTCTGTGTACTTTTGGAATCATCGCGAGGATACATATTTGTTGAACCCTAAACGTACGGCGGATAATGGCGGATGTTTACGACACAGCTAAACGCTTACATCTCTCGTCAGTGATCTTATTATATCGGCACGCGCTTTGGTGGAACATATGAAGAGCGATGCAGATTTTGATCGCGGATCTATTTGGAAAACTCTCTGGGAGAGCCCTACCTTTGTAGCGACAAATCAATATCAAAATCGCTCAAGGGGACAACAGAGAGATACGGCTACCGCAGCTAACGTCTGATGGTCATCAAAGCAACAGTAAAGATCATCACCACGTCACCATCACTCACCCATCCAGTCACCGCTCAGTCACCATTTCTTCACCTTCTGGTCCGGTGGGATAGCCTGGTGGTTAAAGCGTTTGCTCGTGACGTCAAAGACCCGGGTTCAATTCCCGACATTCGTACGTTGTATGCAGCCCATTTCTGGTGTCCCCGGCGCGATATTGCTGGACTATTGCTAAAGCGACGTAAAACCGAACTCTCTCACCCTTCACTTTCCCGGTACCACGCCGTTACCACGCATCATGTGAGTGATTAGCTGAGTGAGTATTCCAGCAAAATACCACGACGGGTACTTTCTTGTGGTTCTTTTACATATCAGACAAAATGGTTCGACATTCCTTGTGTAGCAGGGCGTGGAGTCATCCCACAGATGACATCCTTACCTTGTCATATTGCTGACGGGGTCAACCTCTTTGGTCATGTGGACAACGCGTCCGACCTCTGATCAGAAGGTCCGTGGTTCGAATCCCATCACGGGATTCGAAAATTTTATGGCCGCTACATTGGCGCCCAACGTGGGGCTGAGCACGTTCATATTAAATTTGAGCAAAATAAGCCTCAGTACCCTACTATGCGGCCCCCGGGACGTGCCTTCTGTTGACGGGGGAGTATGTAGCAGGGCGCGGAGTCATCCCACAGATGACATCCTTACCTTGTCATATTGCTGACGGGGTTAACCTCTTTGGTCATGTGGACAAGGCGTCCGACCTCTGATCAAAAGGTCCGTGGTTCGTATCCCATCACGGGACTCGGAAATCTTATGGCCGCTACACTTGTAAAAACTAGTAAAGGCATAGTTACGTTCCCCGGTGTCTGAAGAGCACATTTAAAAAAGATATTAAGTTTCAAATTTACGTTACGATGATGCCTATTACACGAAGCTAGTGATAAATGTTCTTTCGCAAAAGTAATGTGGACAAACGGGTAAAACTACTCACGGACACGCGTAATGCACATGAGGATTCATTAAATGAATGAATGACTTTATTTCAGTAAGGTGGCCACTGGCTCATGATACAATTATTGTTCAAAGTGTATATGAATTAAAGGAGAGCTAGGTATATCTCCATCAGAATACATTGGAATCCAAAACATTGTCATATTTCTAGAAAATAATTATTATATATTTTGTTAAACATGGTAATATAGTTGCATTATGAGAGGAGAGGAGATGGTAAAATTTAGGTATTGAAGGAAAATAAGGGAATGATGGATTGTCTTAAATCAGTATAGAAAGGGCAAACCAGGAAAAACGTGACACTCCGATTCTTGTGGGGAAATGACAGGGAAAGGGCAAAGTCTCTCTTCTCTCATAAAAGTATTTTGACTCATTAAATAAAACTGGGGACTCCATAATTGAACATATTATTTCAAACTCAATAGAAGAAAGCCTCAGGATATGTACATGCTAAATTACATTCACTCATTTTGAACGGGGAAATAACATTAAGTGACTCTGAAATGGATCAAAACTATTCTTCTTTTTGGCCAACATACATTCTGAAGGGCACATCACAATTATGTTGTCCCTGAACACGCAATGCCGTTTAGAAAGTCAAATGTAATAAATGTTATATTTGGGGTAACCATTTCTGAGTAAAGTACAGATTCTCGTCCTTTTTTTTGGTAGAGTCCCGGCCCTATGTTGTTCTTCCTGAGCGAAATGGCCTTTAATGTTATTGTTAATACACATGTGTAAGTACATTTGCACGGTCCACTTCATTTCCGGTTTCCGCAGCCATACCTTGTCCAGAGTTGTCTGCCCCTAACCGAGGGGTTGTTGTGTGCACCAACTGGCGCTCTGCCTACGGCAAGTTCTGTCTGGTGAGCTGCACCGAGGACTATGAGCTGCCAGAGGACTACGACGCTCGTCAGTGGCTGGTCTGTGGTAGTAGCGGCGACTGGATGCCTTCAAACATCCCCGAGGAATGCAGCGGTAAGTTTTGATAGTAGACCCGACCAAAACCCAAACCCAAACCCCAAACCCCAAACCACTGGGGATTCTGGGACAGAACATGCCCCAAGTTGGCTGAGGTTGCCGATCCCTCATACGTTCACAAGGACTGCAAATCAAAAACAAAAACCGATACTGGATTTGAAAAACAAGATGGCGGCCGCCACGAAAACACCACCGGTTTTGTTTACGAATTTGAATTCTTAGTTAGTGTTCACGGAGGTAATCCGATAACCAATGCTCGTTCCAAATACACTGCATGTGGGAGGTTACCAATGATCTCAACAAATGTTGGTCTCTCCCGCCGCGATGTAGCTGGAATGTTCCGGGGTACAAAGTTCAGTTAAAAAATTTAAGTCGTACAAAAAATGAATAAAAGCAATTAGATCATTCCCTTAATTCCTTCCGGGATTAATCTTCCACTGGATCCATAATGAAACAAGTTTGGTTTTAAGTGGGTTGAAATGTGCAAATACATTATTAACTGCGAGCATAAATCGTCAACATAGCCAGTTAACATCTCACTGCGAAAATTAAACGAGAAATATTATTTATTTTGGAAACCGTTTCACAAATGTGAGAGCAATAAATATTATCAACCTCCATGGTTCCAGCGGCTAAGGGGGCGGTCGGGTAGCCTAGTGGTTAAAGCGTTCGCTCGTCGCGCTGGAGACCCGGGTTCGATTCCCGACACGGGTACAATGTGTGAAGCCCATTTCTGGTGTTCCCCGCCGTGATATTGCTGGAATATTGCTAAAAGCGGCATAAAACCATACTTACTCCAGCGGTTAATGTTTTGGTGAATATATGTGACCAAATCTTCATATTTTCGAATATATTCTTCTCTGCCTAATGCTAATTTCAAGACACAATAAAGAAGTTCATTCATAAATGAAGGCCACATGGCCCAGAGTTCATTTACATGAATAATATACACTATGCACATGCACAAATTTTCTTACAACAAACGTTCATCTTTTTTTTTTACATTTGTATTTACATATGGACATATATTTAAAAACACAATCATTTCTTGTCGATAGAAGACTGATAAATTTTGGGACAGATGGTTGTACATGGTAACATTTTGGAATTAATATTTCTCTATTACTTTTATATAAAAAAAGAAAAAATTAACAAAAAATGGTATTCATTTTCTATTTCATAGCGGTTACATTTCTTAAAATAACTAAACGATGACTCTGTGGTTGTATTAAATCGAGTTTTCTGTACATTTAGATTATGGCTTAAACAACAGAATTTACATAAAGCTCTAAGTCTAAGAAGATCTCTTTCACATGCTAAAGTAGACAGATATCTTTTTGGTTCGAGTAGTGATTTATAAGATGAATAAACATCAAGGAAAGGAGAATTTGTGATTTTGTAATACCAGTTTTGGAATTCTATATCTTTACATCGTTGTTTGAATATAACCATGAAGCATTTCATATCGCCGCAATCCTGAGACAACAATTTCAAGACACAATAACGTACATTGTGTGAAACTGACATATGTTTTGTACATCATTAATTATATAGATACAGGGTTCTTACATAACACTATCGAGTAAAAGCAGCCATTGGACGCTCATTCGTTCGCTGCGTAATGCTAAAACGAGGCGTTCTTTATCATGCAACTTTTAGCGTCACTATTTGGACCTATTTGGCTCTTGAAACACAGAAACTGAATCCCACTGTGAAGTGTGTAGGTCACGTGTTACTTCAAGTCTTCCAGCCTTCGGGTATCGGTCGATGGCTTCCTTTAAATCTAAGCAGAAATACAAACTTGTTTTAATTATTAATAATGTGATCAACATGCAAAGACTCCATGTTTGCCGAAACTATACCCTCTGTGAGGAGTCATTGAATAAATTATTCAATTCCAGTTATGTTTGGCGATGGGAACATCATCCAAGAGGGTGCCCTGCAGAAAATCGACGGGTGCCTTCACGCCGGAGCACAGGAAGGGCTTCGAACCCGGTTCCTACGGCTGCTCAGAGAGTCAGCCTTCAAGTCCTTCTGCACTAACTATGAAGACATGTGCAGGCCAGAAAACGTCGAGGTGATCTGTTGGAATAACCAACTGTTGGGGTGAGAAGATCTTCTCATGCCCGAAGCCTTGCTTATCCTTTTAGGGGCTGACCTTTTTGGGGCTGTGGGCTGGGCTATTTCTTGAGACCCTAAAAGTAAAGTATGCTGAAAAAATAGTTTTTCCTCGTTGTTGTTGTTGTTTGTTTTGTTGGTTTTGTTGTTCGTTTGGTTTTGGTTTTTGTTGTTTTTGTTTTGTTTTTGTTTGTTTTTTTTGTTTTTTTTGGGGGGGGGTTCGTTTCAATTTTCTTTTATTCATCTTCTATTAGCTGTGGGGTAGGGTAGGTAGCTTGGGTCGGTGTTGTTGCGCTTGTCCTCAGCTTTAATCCCCAAACAATTAAATCCCATACAGGACATGATGAATGTCCTGACATATTTTTTATGTAGGTAAAATGTGTTTAGCTTCTCCTTTTAGTGATAAAATAATTGAATATTTTTAAGCCTGTTGAAACACATTGACTCTCAAACAAACATCCTAGTGCGCTTACACATTGTCGAACTGCTGTTTTCAATTCGAACTGTGATAAAGAGTGGGACTAGTATGCTTTTCCTACTTCTCGTTATTTTTATACGCTTGTCAAAGCGTTTTGAATTTTCATGTTTGGAACACAACCAAGCAACATGTTAGAAATGTTAGACTTTTATTAAGGTCTTTTTATCCAGATATCTTTATTTCACGTATCAATGTATCAGTTCTGATTCTTAGTTTGAAAATGTGATGTACCGTTGTGCAATCATCGAAATAAAAGTATCTGTCAGCCAAGTCACTCAGTTTTTTACTCCACCTTAAACTGTGGCACGCAATTAGCTGTGGAGAGCTGTATGCCTCAGACGTGCCAGAAACCTATGCTCGCTGGTTCGAATCCGGTTCGTCCTACCGTCGAAGCATTCTTTCAAATAAAATATCTGAGAGCCAAAATAAAACGCTCGGGCAGCTCAGATGACTGAGGGGATAACCCATGAGGATAACCATCGATGACCAAATCCTTTCCCTTCCCTTCCATCCCCATCCTTTCCCTTCCCTTCCCTTCCCTTCCATTCCCATCCCTTCCCTTCCCTTCCCATCCTTTCCCTTCCCTTCCCTTCCCATCCATCCCCTCCCTTCCCTTCAATCCCCATCCTTTCCCTTCCCTTCCCTTCCCATCCCATCCCTTCCCTTCCCATCCCTTCCCTTCCCATCCCTTACCTTCCCTTACCTTCCCTTCTCTTCCCATCCCTTCCCTTCCCTTCCCTTCTTATCCCTTCCCTTCCCTTCCCATCCATCCCTTCCCTTCCCTTCAATCCCCATCCTTTCCCTTCCCTTCCCTTAACTTCCCTTAACTTCCCTTCCCTTCCCTTCCCATCTCATCCCTTCCCTTCCCTTCCCTTCCCATCCCTTCCCTTCCCTTCCCATCCCTTCCCTTCCCTTCCCTTCCCTTCCCTTCTCTTCCCATCCCTTCCCTTCCCTTCCCATCCCTTCCCTTCCCATCCATCCCTTCCCTTCCCTTCAATCCCCATCCTTTCCATTCCCTTCCCTTCTCTTCCTTTTAATTCCCTTCCCTTCCCTTCCCTTCCCCTCCTATCTCTTCCCTTCCTTTCCCTTCCCTTTCCCTCCTTTCTCTTCCCATTCCATTCCATTCCTCTCCTTTCCCTTACCTACCCCTCCTTTCCCTTCCTTTCCCCTCCTTTCCCTTCCCTTCCCCTCCTTTCTCTTCTCTTCCCCTCCTTTCCCTTCCCTTCCCCTCCTTTCTCTTCTCTTCCCCTCCTTTCTCTTCCCTTCCTTTCCATTCCCATTCCATTCCATTCCGTTCCCTACCCCTCCTTTCCCTTACCTTCCTCTCCTTTCCCTTCCCTTCCCTACCCCTCCTTTCCCTTACCTTCCTCTCCCTTACCTTCCTCTCCTTTCCCTTACCTTCCCCTCCTTTCCCTTACCTTCCTCTCCTTTCCCTTCCCTTCCCCTCCTTTCCCTTCCCTACCCCTCCTTTCCCTTACCTTCCTCTCCTTTCCCTTCCCTTCCCTACCCCTCCTTTCCCTTACCTTCCTCTCCTTTCCCTTACCTTCCCCTCCTTTCCCTTCCCTTCCCTACCCCTCCTTTCCCTTCCTACCCCTCCTTTCCCTTACCTTCCCCTCCTTTCCCTTCCCTACCCCTCCTTTCCCTTACCTTCCTCTCCTTTCCCTTCCCCTCCTTTCTCTTCCCTTCCTTTCCATTCTCTTCCCATTCCATTCCCTTCCCTTCCCTTCCCTTCCCTTCCTTTCCCTTACCTTCCTCTCCTTTCCCTTCCCTTCCTTTCCTTTCCCTTTCGTTCCCTTCCCTTTCTTTCCCCTCTTTCTCTTCCCTTCCTTTCCATTCCCTTCCCTTCCCTTCCTTTCCCTTCCTTTCCCTACCCCTCCCTTCCCTTCCTTTCCTTTCCCTTTCGTTCCCTTCCCTTTCTTTCCCCTCCTTTCCCTTCATTTCCCTTCCCTTCCCCTCCCGTATCGACAAGCTGTCTGCTCCCACTCGGCAAGGACCGCCTCCGTGGTCTAGTGGTAGAGCGTCCGCCCGGAGAGCGGAAGGTCCGTGGTATGATCCCCAGCCGCGTCATACCAAACTATGTTAAAAGATAGTACTTGTTGTTAGCCTTTCTGGCGCTCGGCATTAAGGGGCTAAAACAAGGACTGGTCGGCTCGGAGTCAGTATACTGTTAAACTGCGGCATGGTATCTCAGTGAGCTAGCACTATAATCGATATCAATCCGCACTAGTACAAGCAGCCACACGCACGCACGCACCCACGCATACACACACACTCACACACACACGTGAATGCACGCGACGTTACACCAAATTACACCTCACCTCACCACCCGGCAAGAGGCCGTGCCAACTCAAGTAAAAACCTGGCAAACCTCTAAAAGATTAAATCAGACCCATTCTAATAGAGCCCTTAAATGAATCTGACTTCCATCTGATTTGAGTTTTGCTTGCTGTAACAGTTGTGACTTGAGTTGCTGGATGAGGCTTACTGCAGAGTTTTCAAATATGTGCACACTTGCAAACTGGACGTGTGCATAGTGTACGATTGAAGTCAAGGCATGTATCGGTTTGACGTGTGCCAAGTAGAGGTGTGTGCAACATGGCAGATCTTGGTTTGTAAAATGACTGTGGAGTCATGGACAACCACCATAAATCCTGGTGTCAATTACTGATCCTGTTTCCAGCCATCCCCCTTTTGCCTGTGATATGCTGAGCGAATGATATCAATGTACAGTAAACTACGGTTATAACGAACTCAAAGGGACCACTTATTTTTGTTCGTTATAACCGTAGTTCGTTATAAGCATATATATACAGCATGTATACAATAAATGGCCGGGACTAAAAAATAAGTTCGTTATATCAGTCAGTTCGTTATAAGCGTGTTCGTTATAACCGTAGTTTACTGTACTTCACTGTTGAGCTCTAGCAGAAAATATATCAATACAAGTTGCTGGTATATGCCAAGAAGGCTGATGTCCACTCTTCGACAGTGCTAATCTTGGACTGGTGGCGGTTTACTATCTCCCGTTTGCATCGATTATTTACGACAGGCACACCACAAAAAGACATGACTGAGAAATTGAAACATGTCGGTCAGAGGTTCTGACATTTAGAGTGTTTTATGTTTCCATTAGAAACACATGAAGTTATTTTGTCCCCCAAGAGACTGTCTATTTGTCCCTCGTTGGTCCAGGCCCCCGTGGAGTTCAGGGCAGACTAGCTCCAAGTCATTCATCCTCTCTGACTTTCTGGATTGGATGACAACAATGTGTGCCCTGACTGGTTGCGTGTCATTATCCTCCAACGACGTCGGGCGTTGCTCACGGGACCACCCACTGATGTGTTGGGGCCGGTCGCGATTACTCCCAAGCTAGCTAGCTTATTATCCTGACTGCATAACACTCGCATTGTGACTACTTTTCTAAATATCTACAGACCATGTCATTAAGTGACATAGTGAGTGACAGTGGCACAGGCATTGGGCGTTAAACACTTTGCTGAAACCCGTTAAGGGACGCAACTCTTCAAAGTGAATGCTGGTGCCTTAGACGCCTAGATCTCAAGAACACGGAAGCATTACAACGTTAAATATCTGAGTGAATTAGCAGCACTAACATGGTACACGATTGGCCACAGAAACAATGAGTTCGATATATACAACTAAAAAAACATAAAGAACACCCGATTCTTTCGTATGACTATAGCTAATCTGTCAAAGAACACCCGAGTCTTTCATGGCCATGACAGATTAATTATAGTCATATGAAAAATATGAAATATGTTCTTTAACTTCTTTTGAGTAGTATATTATGCATTTCTGCTATGTTTTAATGCATGAATAGACTAGCTTGACCACGCTCAGTGAACTGAAGCAACTGGCCCAGCGCTCTCGACTTTGTCTCATTACAATTGTACTATCGTGAGTGGGTGAGTGAGTATGGATTCATGCCACTTTCAGCCATGTTTCATCCATATGTTGACGTGGGAAACCAAGACGTGTTAACGTGTGTGTGTGTTGGTGTCTGTTGGTGTGTGTGCGTGTGCAAGGACGACTATACCGTTGTTGTACGTACAAAAAAACGTCATTGACATATTCTGTTTCAAAAAGTACACAACTTGCGTACATGATAGGTCTTATTGTGTTTTTATGCTGCTTGTATTCTAAAACAGCTGACCTTTTAGCCTACTTTAAGTCCCGAACAACCTAATCAATTATCCTCTTGCAGCAAATATTGATGGTACACCCACTTAAGATCAGCAACCATCAATTTACGCTTTGACTTTGACCTTTTTGATGTCCATTATTCATTCACAACTTTATCTTTTTCTTTAACAGTGTATTTGTGTTTAGTTTTACACACAGCCACGCTTTCCTGAGTCATTTAGCTCTTATTTAAAATTGTCTATGTATGATGACCATCCTTTTTAGTCCACTGGAAATGTAAAATTATAAACACGTGAATTGGTTGATGATTATCAGATATATAATGGTTAAAAACAAGATTTGTTTATGAACACACAATGCAATTTAGAAAGTGGTCAAATGTAACAAATGTTATATTTGGGAAAGCATTTTCTTTGTAAAGTAAAGATTCTCGTACGAAAGTGTTATCCCAAATATAACATTTGTTACCAACATTTTTTTTATAAGCACACAATGCTATTAAGAAGGTGGTCAAATGTAACAAATGTTATATTTGGGAAAGCACTTTCTCAGTAAAGTAAAGATTCTCGTACGAAAGTGTTATCCCAAATATATCATTTGTTACCAACATTTTTTATGAACACGCAATGCTATTAAGAAGGTGGTCAAATGTAACAAATGTTATATTTGGGAAAGCACTTTCTCAGTAAAGTACAGATTCTCGAAAGAAAGTGTTATCCCAAATATAACATTTGTTACAAACATTTTTTTTCGTTCACAGACTGGCAGGCTCTGGGTTTCTAACGTGATCGAATGCGTGAGTCAGAAAGACTGGCTTTTAAAGTTCCAGTGAGCAAGTTCGTGACCCATCGTGAATTGTCGGCCTTAAATTATACAGATTCTGCGGGCTTATCGTACCTTGTCCTTTCCTTCACCATAGCAAGCTCTGCCTTGCAAACCTGCTGCTCTTTCTACACATATGTTTTATTAATTTCCTTCCTCATCAGCCATGAACGGGGGGAATGAAACGTGTATGTGTCCCTTTCTTCATTAATGAGTGAGTGAGTCACTCAGAGGTGGATTTACCGACGGATTGGACTCGAACCTAGACTTCTGGTGCACCTTAGGACGCAACTCAGCACAGCAATTTGCAGCGCCTTAGACGACTGGGCCACCTATGTCATCGTGATAAAGGCGAATATTGCTTAATCAGCAATAGTGCATCAACACACTGGAAGAAACACACTTCATTTCAGGCCAAATATAAACAAAATGTCCGAGATCATCCTCGGTAGTCCAGGGTATTATATCTCCATGCTTTTCTCAAATATCATAACCAAATATATTGCTAGTCTTGCTTCAGATTTTAAGGCCTCTTCTTGCTGTTCTAGTTCTCACATGTCCACCCTCTCTACGTTCAGACCGCCTCCGTGATCTAGTGGTAGAGCGTCCGCCCGGAGAGCGGAAGGTCTGGGGTTCGATCCCCGATCGCGTCATACCAAAAGACGTTAAAAGATGGTACTTGTTGTAACCCTGTCTGCCGCTCGGCATTAAAGGGCTAAAACTACGACTGGTCGGCTCGGAGTCAGTATACTGTGTCTGATTGAGGTATTCATGTTAAACTGCGGCATGGTATCTCAGTTAGCTAGCACTATTAATCGGCATCAGTCCGGACTAGTACAAGCAGCCACACACACACACACACACACGTGCATGCACGTCGCTATATAAGTGCAATAATCTTGGACGCGACGTTAAACCCCATTTCACCTCACCTCACCTCACCTCACCTCTACGTTCAATGGTTACGTCTATCTTTCTGTTTATTTGTTCTTTTTCGAATTTTCCTTCTCAAAACGTTTGGTCGGTGGTCGAAGAAAACGAAAACATTATCAGCCTCTTTTATTAACTATTAATCTCGGAAAATACTTACTGGATTTAGATAGCTTTTATACGCATGTTTTAAAGTTCACTGAAAACGTGTGGATCAATGCTGTGCACTGACGTGAGTGTATTCCCAGGAGTGAAAGATCACCATGTGAGATTATGTTCTCTTATCTGTATATACGTGTTCTGAACATAATCGATGGTTTCGTATTCATGGCGTAGAAAAGATCCTAATGTGTTCATCAACGAGCAGGACGGTCGGGTAGCTTAATGGTTTAAGCGTTCGCTCGTCACGCCGAAGACCCGGGTTCGATTCCCGACATGGGTTCAACGTGTGAAGCCTATTTCTGGCGTAAAACCATACTCACTCACTCATCAGCGAGCAAACTCAAACTGTTCTGTAGTGAGTGAGTGAGTTGGGTTCAACGCAGCTTTAAACAATATTCCAGTTATATCGCGGCGTGTCAGCTTAATGTTGGAGGAAAGCCCGAAGTCATGCAGGCCTCAGACGTTTACCACTTCGGTGAAACCCACGAGCACGGGTATGGTGCTGACAAACCTACAAACATAATCGGGGCGAACCGGGATTCGAACCCACAATCATAGGTTTCTGGCGTGCCCAAGGGACGCAACTCTGCACAGCGAATCGCAGCGCCTTAGACGACTGGGCCACCCGTGCCCCCCAAACTGTTCTGTAAGTGGCCCCGAAGGGAGGAAGGTCAGTGGTTGGATGAATATGGTGCTGAGGACAAGTAATTTCCAATGATTGCAATCCTCATTGACCTTTTATTATTTGTTGTTTAAAGCTGCATTGAGAAATATTCCAGATATATGAAGGCGGTCTGTTAGAGTCTCGAGATAGTATGTGCCCAAGACATGAAACAAAATTGTTCATAAAATAATTGCACTTTTCAGGCTTTAATCTCAAATCAGTTTCTCGAAGTCTAGACAATACAGCTATAAGTCTTGCCATGTGTTTATCAATGCTCTTATTGAAAATAATCACATCATCCAAGTAGATAAGGCAAACTACCATTGAAGTCCTGCTGGCGCAGCCCGCATTTAAGAGTACCTGGAGCTGCAGCCAGACCAAAAGGCATAACATTGAAATGGTACAAGACATAAGGTGTTTGAAATTCTGTTTTCTCTTTATCGTGTTCGTCAATCGCGACTTGACAATAGTCTGGCATTAAATCCAAGAGTGAGTATCACTGACTTCCGGCTAGGCAATCAAATGTGTCTTGTATTTTCGGTATCGGAAAAATATCCTTCTTCGAAATATTAGTTTTTCGAAAATCTATACAAAATCTTCTGGATATATTTTTCTTGGCAACCAGAACTATTGGCGATGCCCATGGACTGTATGACGGACTGATGGATATTGTTGTAACATTTCCTCAAAGTGTCCCTTTACTTCTGTCTTATTTGATGCTGTTGAAGGCTGACGAATAGGTGGAGGTCTTCTCGTGTTTATTTGAGTGTGTGAGTGGGGTTTGACGCCGCTTTTATTATTACAGTTATATCACGGCGTGTAAGCTTTATGTGGGAGGAAAACCCGAAGTGATGCAGGTTTCAGTAGTTTGCCACTTCGGTGAAACCCACGAGCACGGGTTTGGTGCTGACAAACCTAGAAACATAATCGGGGCGAACCGCGTGTTTATTTGATGAGTAGTTATACATGTTTTACCCAACTGATCATATGATAATATCGTACAATTACAATATCGGGCGGTCGTGTAGCCTAATTGTTAAAGCGTTCGCTCGTCACGCCGAAGACCCGGGTTCGATGCCCGACATCGGTACAATGTGTGAATCCCCTTTCTGGTGTCACAGCCGTCACGCTCCCTGGACAACTGGTGAACCGTGGTTGCTCCTTATCTTGAAAAAATGATAATAACACTAATCATAATAACAACAACAACATTTTTTTTTAATCTGGTTTCTGATGATCCTCACGCCACCTAGTTTGTTTTTAGCATTTGTTTCTGCACTGTTTGTTTGCTGTTTAACGCCGCACTCAGTAATATTCCAGCTACATGACAGCGGTCTGTACATAATCGAGTCTGGAAAGATAATCCAGTGATTGACATCATGAGCATTGATCTACACAATTGGGATACGATGACATGCATCAACCAAGTCAGCGAGTCAGACCACCGATCCCGTTAGTCGCCTCTTACGACAAGCATAGTCGCCTTTTACGGCAAGAATGGGTTGCTGAAGACCTATTCTACCCCGGATCTTCACCCCTAAATGTATTTTAATTAACATAGTATGTTGATATAGAAATATACTGGTTGGTTCTGTCAGCCTGAACCAGAAGTAAATATTTCTTCCTTCAAAACATCGGTATTCAATTGATCACAGTGATATGTTTTACTATTCGTGGTTAAGGTTTTACGCCATATTTAGCAAATACTCCATGGGGGGACGAGAATGCTATAACACCAGGCTATCCCACGGCCCTTGTGGTTTATTATAAACGTAGCGGGATATCTATACAGAAAAAAAAAAAAATCAATACGATCTTCAAATTATATTCAAAACCGATCTTCATGAATTATTAAGAAATGTCTTGAAATCTGATACGTCCGTTTTTACATACACTTTCATGTACACGAAAACAGGTATCAGTTGAACCAACCGGATTTTCATTTACATGATATTAAAAATATGTACCGTTATCAGGTATGAGGACATCAAGTGACGGAACGTATAATGTTCATTGACAAGGTCAGGCAGTATTAACGAGACATATGATATTTACACATACAACCCTGCACCCGAAACCGATTCTTTAAATGTGGTTGTTGGACGGAGAGAGTTCGCGAGACCAAATTAAAGGAATATGTGTATTTTGCTACCACTCGTAGTACGCCTACCCGATTTTACGTTGTATGGACGTGCTTGCAGTCATACCCGGATATGCGTACAAATCGATAGTGTATATAACTGTCGCCCGTATGGTATATGCTAACAGTCGGTGGTTTTACAATGAAGGATCTCTCCGCACTGTGTCATTTAATTCTGTGGAATATACTGATTTTTCACAGGTCATCCAGTCAGAGCGATGTGGTGAGTAGATATCAACGTTATGAAAACTGATTCATTTCTCAATCGAATTGAACAGTTGCTGGTGTATTGCTTTGTGTGATGACGTCTCCCAAAGCCGGGTATAAGACTTGTAGACTGACGCACGTTGTACATGTACAGGGATTCCGTAATAGTGTGAACCTCGATAATATACAAACCAGTCTCTACGGACGATTATGTCCATAAGCATCTATACATATACAAACGACAAAACCTCGTTTATCCGGACATTTGTTAATTCGAACGATGTTTATAGGTAGCGATAAATGTTGCTATAAAGAGATTTCGGTTTACATGGTTTTATCTTATAGCGGTCAGATGAAAATTGACTTGACTTTGCATGTGTTTGTTATGGATGTGACCTTTAAGGCAGGATACACTCAGTACTTAGGCAGCAAACACTTGCTTTTTATGCAAATTGTGAGTGGCGGATGCCACCAGTACACCCTTACCCTTTTCGCGAACACCTGGTGTCATCACTGTTTGAAAGTGATTCATAAACACATGCATTGGGTTCTGCTTCTAGCAGAGATTTCTGAAAAAGATAAAACTGTTTTTGTCGGTTTTATATATTATTTATAACGCAGTAAAAACATGGTGTCTTCAAGTAGTCGTGTAGAATTTGAAATTGTAAAATGAGTTAAAATGAACCCCATCGGCAATATCTCAGCCAATTTTGTTTTTGAAATTTTCACGAAACACGTTTCCTTGCACTTTTCAATACGTTGGTTTATGTATGTTAATCTGTTTTCATATACGTGATTCCAAAGAAAACTAACCTGTGTTACTTAGTATGTACATGTCTAGGAAATGAACTGAGAGTTGTAATAACATGAACATTGTTGAAAATTAAAATATGGTTAGAACTGCAAGTAAATATTCGAGTATCGCGAGGTAATATCACATTCGGAAGTTAATATTCAAATACCACAGGGTAATATCACAATTGTAACTTAACATTTGAGTATCGCATGGTATTATCACATCCGAAGTTAATATTCGAATACCACAGGGTAATATCACAACTGTAAGTTAATATTCGAGTATCGCAGGGTATCATCACATTCTGAAGTAAATATTCGAATACCACAGGGTAATATCACAACTGTAAGTTAATATTCGTGTATCGCAGGGTATTATCAAATCCGGAAGTTAATATTCGAATACCACATAGTAATCTTACAACCGGGAGTTAACATTCGAATATCGCAGGGTATTATCACATTCTGAAGTTAATATTCGAATACCACAGGGTAATATCACATCCGGAAGTTAATATTCGAGTATCGCAGGGTATTGTCACATTATGAAGCTAATATTCGAACACCACAGGGTAATATCACAACTGTAAGTTAATATTCGTGTATCTCAGGGTATTATCACATCCGGAAGTTAATATTCGAGTATCGCAGGGTATTGTCACATTCTGAAGCTAATATTCGAAAACCACAGGATAATATCACAACTGTAAGTTAATATTCGAGTATCGCAGGGTATTGTCACATTATGAAGCTTATATTCGAACATCACAGGGTAATATCACAACTGTAAGTTAATATTCGTGTATCGCAGGGTATTATCACATCCGGAAGTTAATATTCGAATACCACATAGTAATCTTACAACCGGAAGTTAACATTCGAATATCGCAGGGTATTATCACATTCTGAAGTTAATATTCGAATACCACAGGGTAATTTCACATCCGGAAGTTAATATTCGAGTATCGCAGGGTATTGTCACATCCGGAAGTTAATATTTGAATACCACATAGTAATCTTACAATCGGAAGTTAACATTCGAATATCGCAGGGTAGTGTCATAACAGTAAGAGGATATTCGAGTATCACAGTGGAGATGCGTGGTCATCCGAATGTTTAAGACGATTATTGTACAATAATAACATGACTGAAAGTAACCATTCGAGAATCACAGTGAAATGTCATACCCATAAGATTATGTTCGAGTCTGACAGACTCATATCATCACCGGAAGTTATTATTCGAGTATCACAGAGTAATACCATACCCAAGAATAACGTTTCGTTATCTTTACGTCCTGAATTTACTTATTTTATTTAAATTACCCACCATTAATAAACTTTACGCCTTTATCATTCATTTAATACTACCAATCGTCCATCACGGAATCACTCACGCCTTCCTTGAGGCCGCGCCCTTTACAGTAAGTAAAATTGTGGATCCAAATTATGACGGCAACTATAAATTCGTGGACTACGTATGATTTAGTCCTATAGGAATGTATGGCAGCCCAGAAACATGTGAAAGCTCCACAATTGCATGCGAAGTACGTAATACTTTCGTAAAGTTTTAATTAAAATTATTCAACTTGTTTAAGGGCGAAACTTGAAGGAAATAAAGACTACAACATGTGCGCCACTTCTCCAATTTAGTCGGTCTCTGAGGGTCTGTTCTGTACGGTGGCCCATAAGGGACATGGAGTCTGTTTTTCCATATTTTAATATTTCACTTACTTTTATCGTTACCTTTTGCAAATTAACACGTTTTGTCTTACAAATATGTGATAAATCATGTGAAAAGAAGATATTGAATCGCTGAAAAGTGAAACGAAAATGTCAAAAACTAAAATGAAAATGTCAAAAAAAACCGAAAATGTCAAAAACTAAAATGAAAATGTCAAAAACAAAAGCGAAAATGTCAAAAACTAAAATGAAAATACAGAAAACTATTTCCACCGCGGTTATAATATTTCCACCCCGGTGAAAACTATTTCTACCGCGGTGATAATATTTCTACCGCGGTGATAATACTTCTACCGCGGTGAAAACTATTTACACCGCGGTGGAAATATTATCACCGCGGTGGAAATAGTTTTCTGTATTTCATTTTAGTTTTTTGACATTTTCGCTTTTGTTTTTGACATTTTCGTTTTGGTTTTTGACATTTCCATTTTAGTTTTTGACATTTTCGCTTCACATTTCAGCGACTCAATAGCTACTTGAAAGTACATAATCGATGTTTTCAGTTGTTTTTATACATGATTTATCACATATTTGTATGACAAATCGTGTTAATTTGCAAAAGGTTACGATAACAGTACGTGAAATATCAAAATATGGATAAACAGACTCCATGTCCCTTATGGGCCACCGTAGTTCTGTCACCGAATACTTCCTAGCTTTCTTACATACTGATAATTTAACTGAACCATACAAGACTTATATCCTACTGTTCTATTTCAGGTGTGTCCAGTCCTCCCGTACAGTGTAATTATAGACTGTACAACGTACGGGGACGTCTACCATGCGTACACCAACCCTGCTGTCATGTATCACGGGACCAGATGCAACGTCTCCTGCCCCACCGGCGGGGGGGTAGCGGAGGTCACGTGTCACCGTGGGACGTGGTTGGGGTTGCCCTGGGGATGCATTCGTGAGTACCCCCATAGTTGGAATATTATGCTTTATTTATTTCAGTACATGTATCATATTTTGAAAGCGTACATCCTTGATTACCAAATGTACTATATTTTCAATTTTACAATCTCTAGCCCATATAATGTCTCGCTCAAAAGATTAATAATCGCGCTCCAAACGAATCTGTGTAGCCAATACACTGAATAGTTAAGGATGGAAGGCTCGTCCTTGAGTTTCCATTTAATATTTCATCTGAGACATTAGTCGTGCGTGCGTGCGTGCGTGCGTGCGTGCTTGCGTGCGTGCGTGCGTGCTTGCGTGCGTGCGTGGTTGTGCGGTTGCTTGTACTAGTTCAGACATGTGCCGGTTTCACTGTGCCAGCACTCTTTTTTACAGTAATACACACATTATTATTAATAATTATTCTGACCTTTTCAAACATACAAGGGTTACGACAAAAGCGAACATGAAATTAGGATATGAATTAGAATTCCATATCAGAAACCTGTTTAAGTCGTTAAATTTGTGCTAAATGTTTCTATAATCTCCCATATCTTAACTTTAAATGAGTTTAACTTTTTTTGGCAAACAACAGCTCCATTGTACTTTGTGAACCATTTCCGCAATTTTATTATGCAAACGTTAGACAGAATAAATATTTAATTTTCAAAGGCATTTCAATTGTTAAAATGAGAATACTGGATATATTCTAACATGTGACATGTTATGAAAACTAAGTAGGGATGAGATTTTATGGATGAATAACTTCTTTATTAAAATTAAGAGCGACGTTTCGGTGTAGGTTCTAACAATGTTTATACAGTAGAGTAGGTATCAGATGTGGTTATACTGCAGTGGAGAAGCTGTAGCAGTTACATAGAAACATGATATTCTGGGTTTAGGCGACCATTGAGCGTCCTGGCCAGTTTTTGATCGCTCAAAGGTGGCAATAAGGTCGCAGCCCTGTGTCAAGGGGCCTTGAACAACTGCTGGAGCAGTTACACAGAAACATTATTTTCTCGGTTTAGGCGACCATCGAGCGTCCTGGCCCGTTTTTTGATCGCTCAAAGGTGGCAATAAGGTCGCAGCCCTGTGTAAAAGGGCTTGAACAACTGCTGTAGCAGTTACATAGAAACATGATATTCTGGGTTTAGGCGACCATTGAGCGTCCTGGCCAGTTTTTAGATCGCTCAAAGGTGGCACTAAGGTCGCAGCCCTGTGTAAAGGGGCATTACTCTGTGTATTTCCTATCAGTGGACATCTAGATATTGATTTATTCGAGTGTTTCACATTCGTTTTAAATTAGCCTCGCAATGGAGGATAAAATACAATTTGAGAATCTGATCAAGAAGAAATTCGACGTTTTCCCCGGAAGTGGATATGAACTGATTGTAAACGATGTTATTTCTGCTCAATATAAGTCAAATATAGGTTTGTCAGCACCATACTCGTGCACGTGGGTTTCACCTAAGTAGTAAACGTCTGAGACCTGCATCACTTTGGTCTTTCCTCCCACATTAAGCTGACATGCCGCGATATAACTGGAATACTGTTTAAAATGACGTTAAACCCACCTCACTCACTCGTGACGTCAACACCTTGGGACATCCGCTGTATGCAAATAGTTCTGTCTGATCTGTTTTCTCCCTTCAAGCTAAAGACTACCTGTATGAGGACGCTGAGGTCCACTCTCGATCCAAGCGGTCAGAGCAAGAAGAGCTGATGGCGCTGATGTCCAAGATGGGCGGGGACGTGTCACAGCTGGAGTCTCTCTTCAAGGGGAGAACAGCTCCCGATTTAGGCATGTACCCATACCACATACCACATACCACATACCACCACCACCACTATCACCACCACCACCACTATGACCACTACCACCACCACCACTATCACCACCACCACCAACACTAACACCACCCCCACCTCCACCACAACAATCACACCATCACTACCACACCCACCACCACCACCTCCACCACAACTATCACACCACCATTTCCACCACCAACACCACTACCACCACCGCAAAAACCACTATCACCACCACCACCACCACAACATTACTACTATCACTACTACACTACCACTACTGCAGCTACAACTGCTACTACTATTACGCTACAACTTGCTTGTCGTAAGAGGCGACAAACAGGATTGGGTGGTCAGGCTCGCTGATTTAGTTGATGCATGTCATCGTATCACAATTGCGTAGATCGATGCTCATGATGTCAATCACAGGGTCCAGTCTGGTCCAGATACGATTATTGACAGACCGGTATCATATAGCTGGAATATTGCTGAGTGCGGCGTTTAACAACAAACAAACGCACTACTACTACTACTACTACTACTACTACTACTACTACTACTACTACTACTACCACTACTACTACTATTACTACTGCTACTACTACTACTACCATTATACTATTACTACTACTACTACTACTATTGATATGACTACTACTATTATTACTACTGCTACTACTACTACTGGTACTACTATTTCTACTACTTTTACTTCTACTACAACTGCTACTACTTATAAGTACTACAGCTGCTAATACTACTACTATTATCATTACTACAACTACTACTACAACTGCTGCTGCTGCTGCTGCTGCTACTGTTGCTCCTACAGATGCTTCTACTTATTGTTGCTATTAATATTTTTATAATTACTAGATTAAAATAAATAAATACAGCAAATAATGAAAAGCAGGTACTATTATCATTATGATGATAATCATCATCATTTGCATTCGCAGATATGAGCGGGCCCGTCCTGACGTGCCCGCCGTCCCTCCACGAGTATGCTGACCCGATCCAGGTGACGACCCAGGTGGAGTGGGACGAGCCGATGAGCTTTGACGAAGAGGATGGGCAGATCAAGTAGGTTCTTCCACAGTTCCACCTGGTTATCCGACATCCGAGCCAAACCTTTCCATCTACGTCGTAAATGTCAGACTTAGTAATGTCCCTGCATGGAGAAATACAGTTTTCTAAATATATCCTAAAGTCTCAATAAATAAAAATGGCGACGTCAGACTTGGCATTTCGGTGTGAATTTTAAATCAAGGACTGCGTCAGCGGAGAAATATGAAACTTGGAATTTCAAGTGCTTGCAAACTATGAAAATATCGAACAAACCATTTGGTATTGGAAGCAATATCATGAATGACGATAGGAACAAATACAGCGTAAAACACAGTTTCTGTTTGTTTCGAATATTTTCAGGTTTGTTGTGAGTGAGTGAGTAAGTGGTTCTTTGGGTGGGTTGGTGGGTAGTTGTTTGAGTGGGTGAGTGAGTGAGTGAGTGGCTAGGTGTTTGAGTGAATGAGTGAGTGAGTGAGTGAGTGAGTGAGTGAGTGTTGTTTTACGCCTTAGTAAATAATATCAGAAATATCAAATATAGGGGTGTATTAAACGAAGGCCTCATAACGGCATAACATTTTCACACTTATTGCGAGCTTTCTACTTTCACTGTGAGAAAAGTGAGTGTATATTTTCAAACACTGAAATTAACTAATTCTAAATTTGCGTTTTGTTTCAAATAAGAAAGAAAATGACATTTGCTCGTGCACTTCCCTTTAATGATTTTGACGTTATGGCGGCACCATTGTCCCACGCTGTTTTTATCACAGGCCCAAGAGGTATGGCCCAGGCCCAAAGTATACATTCGGTGAAGGGGCCAAGACTGTGCTGTATCTTGCTCGAGACAAGTCGGGCAATTTGGGGAAATGCGAACTCAATGTTACAGTTGAAGGTAGCGTACTGTGGATCATTGTTTGTTTATTTGTTGTTTAACGAATCTGGGAATGATTAATTTGGATCAAATAAACCAGCGGTATTATGTGCAAAGTTCGCAAAGGTCACCGTGTCTGACCACCCAACCCACGTATCGCCCGAGGACCTACTCTAACATGGGATCCCCTTGAGTTGTGGATTTCTGACGTTTGCGCCGTTCCACATTCCACGAAAGTTGACAGTTTATCACATTTTGCATATATCTATCAGAGGGAAACCTCGTTATACCGAACACGATCTTTGCCTCAGACATATGACTCTATATGGCAACAGAGGAACCATCACCCCGAGGCAAAGGAGTTAACTGAATGTGAAAGTTCCGTGGAAACTGGACTTTTATAGTCAGTTAACTACCACACCTCGGGAAGATGCATCATTTCCGCAATAAAATAGTCAAACATCGAATCCATCAGATCATTTCTGTGATCAAAAAGTCAAACATCAAAACCATCAAATCATTTCCGCAATCAACCAAGTCAAACATTGGAACCTTTCGATCATTTTCTCAATCAAAAAGTCAAACATCGAAACCATTAGATCATTTCCGCAATCAATCAAGTCATACATCGCAACCATCAGATCATTTCCGCAATCAACCAAGTCAAACATTGAAACCTTTCAATCATTTTCGCAATAAAAAAGTCAAACATCGAAACCATCAGATCATTTCCGAAATCAACCAAGTCAAACATTGGAACCTTTCTATCATTTCCGCAATCAAAAAGTCAAATATTGGAACCTTTTGATCATTTCCGCAATCAGTTAAGTCAAACATTGAAACCATCAGATCATTTCTGCGATCAAACAAGGCAAACATTGACAAGCTTCGATCATTTCCGCAAACAACTAAGCCAACCATTAAAACCATCCGATCATCATCAGTCGGATATGACGACAACCGTACGGTATCTTGACCGGGAATCTACACGGGGTTTGTTTTATTACGCATAGTAACTGGTAATTACTGGTAGTGATACCATCTGTGTCGTGTGCAGAAAGGGAATGTACTGTGACGTGTTTGGGTCACCTGTTACTGTGGCTCTTCCAGTCTTTGAGTTTCGCGCAATGGCTTCCTTTAATGAACTATTTCCTTCCAGTCGTACGGTGTAAGATGGAAGCGAAGAGCGATTTCCCTGACGGGCACTACACGTGCCACCCGAACAGTGAGTTCGTGTACGGGTCCACGTGTAAGTACGGGTGTTACGAAGGCTACGAACTGGTCGGGGAGAAGAAACTCACTTGTGAGAAGAGTGGCAAGTGGTCGCACGCCATCCCAAAGTGTAAACGTAAGTTCGGTTTGACCATACGGATCCATACGGTTCAGGGATACGCATACTTTTTAGTATACTGTTCATTCATACATTCGAATGTTTTATAGATTAATGTATAAAAAGTGTGAACGTATAGCCAAAGCTATAACCAATTCATTTGAAGATTTGATCTACAAGAAATAGCACTTGTTATTCAAAAGCATTTGTTTGTCAACTGTGACCGCAAAATGAGCCACTCCTCGCTTGAAGATCGTTTTATTGAGTAACTGCGCCCATGGGGGTTAGTCGCCTAAAGCGCCGAAATTAGTTGTGCAGAGTTGCGTCCCTTGGCATGCTAGAACTCTATGATCGTGGATTCGAATCCTAGCGGGAAGGAAGATCAAAAGTTCAAATCACCACCTAGCCCTAGTCCCCCCCCCCCCCGCAGTACGTTAAAAACTGGCCTCAGATTATCAGTGAGTGAGGAGGCTTTTGTAGGGATGGGGACGTCACACGAAGTTTTGGTAGCTAATGTGTTCAGGGTATTTATCATAAAACAATGGAGATATTATACCCTGGTAAATCGAGGATGTGGTACGATATACAACAATGGCTTGTCAGCACGAAAAGTCTGAGAGGCATTTCCAATGGTCCTGTTTCTTTTCAGTTTTGACTTGCCCCTTGTTGCAACCTTTCGCGGCCGGCACCTTCACCTGCTCCGACAACAACAACTACCGCAGCATCTGCTCCTACACGTGCAAGAAGGGCTACGTCGTCAGAACCGGAATGTCCCGGATCAGGGTGTGCATGGCGGACAAGTCGTGGCGGGGAAAGGAGCCTATTTGTGATGGTGAGTACTTGTTTCTCATGACGTGTTTGTCCAGACATACTGCCGGGCAAACATAAACACTTGAAAATTGGATTTGACAAAAGAAATGACAAACCTTATCAAAACGTCACTAGGCCGAAGCCCTGCAAACATAAAGCCCAATGCCCAACTTTCATACCGGTATCAAATACATTACCATCGAATAACTTTTTCTTGTTTGTTTCATTTTAGCCACCATCAAACATGGGTGTACACTGTAAACTGCGTTTATAACGAACACGCTTATAACGAACTATTGTTTGGTCCCGGCAGTTTGCTGTATATCTGATATAAAATTGATGGATATGACGAACGTGCTTCTAACAAAATAAGGGATACAGCGTTCTTTTGCCCGGCAGTTTAGACTACGTTTGGAGGGAGGTTTATATTTTTGTATTATTATTTATTTAGCGGGTTAAATGTAAACGATAATAAAATAAACCACGGGACCGTTTTTGCCACTCACTCTGCTACTTGAAACAGGTCTCTGAGGCCATGGGAAACGGCGGTAAGGTTCCCCTGCCAACCTGAGACACAATGAATGGCATCGCCTGTACAAACGCTCAGGGTCAAGTGCAGAAACGGACCATTGATGTCCGGGGTAGAATAGGTCTTCAGCAACCCATGCTTGCCGTAAAAGGCGACTATGCTTGTCGTAAGAGGCGACTAACGGGATCGGGTGGTCAGGCTTGCTGACTTGGTTGATGCATGTCATCGATCCCAATTGCGTGGATCAATGCTCATGATGTCAATCACTGGATTGTCTGGTCCAGACTCGATTATAAACAGACCGCTGTCATATAGCTGTAATATTACTGAGTGCGGCGTTAAACAACAAACAAACAAACCATGAGACGGCCGCCTGTCGACCCCAGTGGTCAGGCTCGCTGACTTGGTTGATGCATGTCATCGATCCCAATTGCGTGGATCAATGCTCATGATGTCAATCACTGGATTGTCTGGTCCAGACTCGATTATAAACAGACCGCTGTCATATAGCTGGAATATTGCTGAGTGCGGCGTTAAACAGCAAACAAACAGTGCAGAATCAAATGCTAAAAACAAACTAGGTGGCGTGAGGATCATCAGAGACTAGATTTGCTGTGGCTGTTGTTATTATGATTAGTGTTATTATCATTATTTCAAGACAAGGAGCCACCACTGTTCACCAGTTGTCCAGGGAGCGTGACGGCTGTGACAGGCCGTGACTCCCACTCCGCCATGGCCAAGTGGGATGTGCCCCGGGCTCGAGACAACAGCCAGGTTGAGATCAAGCCTGACCTTCACAGCCAGATCAAGAACAACCAAGTGGCAAAGATCGGAGTCTATGACGTCACCTACGAAGCTCAGGACGAGGCTGGCAACAAAGCAAGGCCATGTAGATTTAAAGTTATTGTGAAAGGTGTGATTTTATAGTGCTATAGTCATATATTCCATAATACCGTACAACTACCCCATCCTTGTCAGTGAGTGAGTATTGTTTTACGGCGCTGTTAGCATTATTCCTGCAAAATCATTGTCGCACATATTGTCGAACGCTTTCGCCATTAATTTATTCAATCACCACGATCCTTGTTGGGATGATGGTGTAACAGGATTTCGCCTATATCACGATAAATAATCCCATCTTTGAAGGTATCCCAATGTTTGCCCTTTTGACCTCGAGATGTCGCAATTCGCTGTGCAGTTGCGTCCCTTGGGTATGCATAAAACTATGATTGTGGTATGTTATTTATACCTTAAACGCCCCTGTGGGATTACGAAAGTCTAAGACCGTCATCACTTCAGGCTTTCATCTCAAATAAAGCTGAAATGGTACACGCCCAGATATAAATGAAATACTGTTGAACGCGGCGTTAAACACAAATCAATCACTCGCTGTGACCCAGTTGAATACTCCCTGTTCTTTTTACGTTTTTTGAAGTAGGATTCTTATATAGTCTTCTAGTATGTTCTCCGAATGCCCATTAATCTTTCCAAAGTTTACGATATCCCTTCCTGTGTCCCACTTGAGGATTGTATTACCACAAAACGTGATAACAGACACGCCGGGAAGAAGAATCGATCGTCTTTAACATTTAGATTTTTTGTATAGATTTTTTTGCAAAACACCCATTTGTATCTTAACTGATTTAATATTAATGACTTTGGACTGATTTTAGCGTTTACAACTTAAAAGTACACATTCCATTTGAACTAAATGTGATATATATACAAGAGATTTCTTTTTAATTATTTAAATGTAACAAATGTTATATTTGAGATAACACTGACAAGTGTAAATTTGCACGGCTCCCATTGCCAAAAGCTATGAACACACAATGCTATTTAGAAAGTGGTCAAATCACGGACTTGTATGACTTGTATGACTAGGTCCAGGGTCAAATGTACAAATGTTATATTTGGGATAACACTTTTTGAGCTGATGATAAGGTGCCTCACTCTGGCAGTGTGGGTTGGAATGGGACTCAACCCCAAAAAGTACGAGAATCTGTAACTTGACAAAGAATTGTGTTTCAGATCTCAAGTGTCCAGTCCAGTATGCCCTGCCCTACATGAAGGTATCCTGTGGGTCGGGCACGGGGGTGGGGGCCTCGTGCACATTCAGTTGCCAGGCAGGGTGGATACTGAACGGAACTCAGACCACCCAGTGTCAGCTTTCCAAGACCGTCCCTCCGTTCGCTTCCTGGGACTGGTCAACTGGCCGGCCTATATGTACAGGTAGGGGTTGTCCAAGGGCGAATCTAAAGGTAGGGGTAGGGAGTTCATTGGGTAGGACGCCCCAAACAAACCCACACCCGACGACGATGAGGACGACGACGATGATGTTGATGATGATGATGGGTCCCAATGGCAAATTATATGTTGTCGTACATACCCGTATAACCTAAAGAAATAAACAATTTGTTTTCCCCCGGCATATATCGGGGTCCGTTGGGGTCATTTATGATTAATATGCAAATAACAAAGGTCAGTTAGTAACTACATCCATCGCTTCCAACCAAACATTACGTCGCCCTTGTCTATCATTAAAGCGTATCGTTGTTACCATGATCAAAATAATAGTCTACGTTACGAAAATCGGGGTGTGAAAAACAAGTTTTAAGGTGGAACTATATTGCCTGTTGTCACTGTCCAACTGACCTAGTGACGTAATGTATTAATGCGCACAGTCAAGGAAAACTGTTTAGGTACCGTTTGTGAGAGATAAGATTACTTTACTCGACGATTGAATTTTAGAATGATATTATATGATAACCTCCGAATCTATTGACCAATTTGCAGCCAAAGACCCGTGCCCTAAGCCAGAGCCGCCTGTGAACGGGGCCCTTGCCTGCGACTTGTGGGAGAATGGGCGGTTCTGTCAGATGCAGTGTACGAAGGGGACAGATATACCGCCTAGTTTTACAGCCTGGAAACTCTTTGTCTGTTCCGAATCCGGGAAATGGAACTTTAAAGGGGCGCTCCCGGCATGCGAGAGTGAGTGATAACCAAACACAGACCCTCATCTGGTCTAATAATGACGGGCAAAAGAAAGTATACACTTGCAAATTGGATTTGGCGAAACAATTACTAACGTTGTCAAAACGTTACTAGGCTAAAAACTGTCGAGAAACACTGAAACTTAAAATCCAAAAAACACCTATAACACACAAATACACACCATCGAATAACCATTTAAATTTTTGTATTATTTTTAGACACCATCAAAAATGGTTGTATACTTTATTTTGCCCGGTAGTATACATGTAGCTTCAGTCTTAACTGTTGTCATGTCATTTTATTGCCACAACATGTACTTTCATATATGTAAATATTACTTAGTTTCTTAATAATATGAAATGGGTTTATTTAATCTTAAACATATTATGACTTATAAAATATATATTTGTGAGCAATATTTTAAAAACATGTCAAAAAATAATTTGAATGCATTCCTTTGGGACGTGTATCAGACAAAAAGATCTGATTTTAATGAGATTTGGTAAAACATCTTTTTGAATTTATTGGGTGCGGGGTCTAAGGTGTGGCTTTCTGATATATCGATTAAACCGTAGAGTTCATATCATCATAATTATTCATGTATCTTTCAGGTAATAATAAATTTATATTCAGGAACAAAAGAAACTATACCTCCCAGTTGATATTATCCTATGTATGGTTTTCAAGTGAAAAGATCTAAAGATAGCAATATATATCCAAATAATGAACAGTACTGGCGCTTAGTCAGCACTCAAATAAAACTTTAACGTGGTTTTATTTTTTAAATGTATAATTTGATTTAAGGCTTTTAAATATTAATAAATCCTGTGCATGGGTTACATAGATATCCTATCTTTGTAAATCAAAGAAAAACATTCGGTACAACTGTTGTTTAAAATGAGTGATGGTTAAAAAGACATAATCAAATTTAATAACAGTTCTTTCAAATTTTTTCAATATATATATTGTTGGTTTCAATGACAAAACCATAATGTCATATTTTATGGGTTTCATAGGCCAAACTAGGATCATATAAACTGAGGGACAAAATAAAGTTATCAGATTTTGTTTTATATATATATTGTTGGTTTTATGAATGGAACCCACAGCATATGTCCCCTGTCGTGATATTGCTAGAATATTGCTAAAAGCGGTTAATACCCAACTCACACATTTACTTAAAAGAGTGAGTGAGTGAGTTAGTGTATTTTAACGCCGTTTTGAAGGGGCTTATGTCGTAGCGAGTCAGCTTGAAGTGGGAGAAAGGTCCAAAGTGATGCAGGTCTTAGATGTTTACCACTTTGATGAAACCTAAGTCCACTCGTACATTGCTGAAACACCACAGTGAACTGTTTGACCTCGAGAGACATGACATCTTGGTACATGTGTACCGAGAGTGTACTTAAGGACAATCACCGCCAACGTTTCACTATCATGTATACACATGGACATAAATTGGGAAAATATCCTGAAAATACATCCGCCCCTGGGAACTTTTAACTATTAATGTACGTGACATTCATTACAAATACACCAAGGAATTTGCCGACGCAAAGTCTAAAAGGTCAAGCTCAATATTTAAGAAAGCTGAAATTTCCTTACTGAATCCGTTCGACTGTAGTGTAGTTGTTTTTCGCTGATGCGGTATTGATTTGGTTGTATAAATATTATTTATGTGAAAAAAGTTAATTCTGACGTGCTTCATATAAAGTAGTGTAAATGTTATATCATTTAATATAATATTAATGTAATATTTAGTTATTCGTCTGATCAATGTTTGATCATAATAAATTCGTTGACAAAACCCATTTGTCAAAGGCGCCATGCATGAATTTTCTTTTAAGAAAAAACACCTCGCAACAATGTAGTTTTTGCGGCATGTAGTCTGAGCATAATTTTTTATTTCAAGAATATTCGATGACAATTTATTTCTGTCGCTAAAATCCCAGCCCCGTCACAGTGGGGTCGATTCCCTCATCGGTACAATGTGTGAAGCCCATTTCTGCTGTCCCCTGCCGTAATATTGCTGGAATATTGGTAAAAGCGGCGTAAAACCTCACTCACTCCAAACACTCAAAATATACTACTAAGGCGGCGAAAGCATTCAGTTACAGTTAACTACGGTTATAACGAACACGCTTAAAACGAACTGACGGTTATAACGAACTTACCTTTTTGGTCCCGATTTTTTGCTGTAGTTATGTTGTATATATGCTTATAACGAACTACGGTTATAAGGAACTAAAATTAGCAGTCCCTTCAAGTTCGTTATAACCGTAGTTTACTGTATTTTAAGACCAACACACACTAGTTGACCTACCCTTTTAACCCATAAATGATAGCGGAAAGAAATATATGCGCCTCTTACAAATAATCAATAAATTGCCAGTGAATGCTAGATGTTCGCACCGTATTCATAGATACTACACCCTGTACATATATGAGTGTTTTAACTGGGACGCGAAAAGTTCGCGCTACGGTCGCGATCTTTGGTTTATTTATGTACTGCTAGGCTGTAAATCATTGCGGAGTGATCTTCAGAGCGAGTTAAATATTTATCTTCGAAACAGTCAGGACAGTGGCATGAGCGTTCACGGTGTTCATACATCGTACATAAAAAACAACGCCTCACATACATAACTGTTTAAACTTGGGCGTGAAAATGTCGTGATCAGTCGCGATCGAGAGTTTTTTTCCGCACTGCTTCATGTTGAAACGATCGTGAACGTGTCTCAGTCGCAATCGATGAATATATATGATTATATTATTGAATTTTCTGTCCCTTTTGACACCAATGTGATTGACAAGATTCAGGAAAAACATGGCAAATATGCGGACCTCGCTTTCGAAATGTCACGCTTGCATCCCAAGTACCAAGTTGTCCGACTCCCAATTGTTCTCGGTGCCTTAGGTTTGGTACCTCCCAATCTGTTGACTGACATTGGGAGTGTACCCGGGTTTGCTACCAGGAATACAGCCCTTCTGACAATCTGTGTAATGCAGAAGACTGCAGTGTTGGAGAGTCTTCATATTCTCTGAAAAGTTCTAGGTGGGTTGGGCTGCGTGTAGAGGGGGCAAGGGCCCTGAGATGATGATGAGCCTAACCAGCCTGACTGTGCCAGGATCACCCAAACCCTCTTTGCTGCATTTAAAAAAAAATTAATCTGTATATCATAATGATGATATCCTTAATATAGTTTTATTACCGTCTTCGCATTGCTTGTGGCTTTGAACAGAGGTTCATCCATGGTAGGACCCGGAATATGTAGAGGGCATCATGGAAAATGATAAATACAAAATTCTTTGGAAAAGTCCCTTATGCAGCCTCAGACGTATCCAGGTCAACAAACCTGATCTTTTCTTTTTGATAAATCCAATGGAATCATTTATATCATTGAATTTTCTGTCCTTTTTGACACTAATGTGATTGACAAGATTCAGGAAAAACATGGCAAATATGCGGACCTCGTTTTCGAAATGTCACGCTTCCATCCCAAGTACCAAGTTGTCCGACTCCCCAATGTTCTCGGTGAACTTTGATCAAAAGCTATCAATCGTCATACCTGCAACCTATTTGGTATGCTGCAGTACTGAAGTTATATATGCTTTGAGATGTACGTGGGCCTTATTACCGAAATAAAATGATTGATTGACTGAGTAAATTCTCGCCATCGTTTTGTAAGATACTTATGACTACGGTCACACGAGATACTGAGTTCAGCGCAACCTTGTGGCCTTATGTGACATGACAATGAACAGTTTTCAATGCCTTTGTACAACGACAACATGTGACGATCGAGCTCCAAAATTTAATATTTGTATCTATGATATTAAATTAAATATATCGACTTTATTAGGTACAATAAATGTACCAAAAATCTACCTGCGCGTTTCTTTTTTTGGAAGAGTATATGTTGGCGATAGCCTTGTGGTTAAAGCATTCGCTCGTCACAACGAGGGGCGGTCGGGTAGCCTTGTGGTAAAAGCGTTTGCTCGTCACGCCAAAGGCCTGGGTTCGATTCCCGACTAGGCACATTGTGTGAAACCCATTTCAGGTGTCCCCCGCCGTGATATTGCTTGAATAGTGCTGGAAGCGGCGTAAAACTATACTCACTCGTCACAACGCCCTATTCCCTCATGGGTACAATGTCAGAAGCCCATGTCTGGTGTCCCCTGACGTGATATTGCTGGAATAGTGTTGGAAGCGGCGTAAAACTATACTCACTCGTCACAACGCCCTATTCCCTCATGGGTACAATGTCAGAAGCCCATGTCTGGTGTCCCCTGACGTGATATTGCTGGAATAGTGCTGGAAGCGGCGTAAAACTATACTCACTCGTCACAACACCCTATTCCCTCATGGGTACAATGTCAGAAGCCCATGTCTGGTGTCCACTGACGTGATATTGCTGGAATAGTGCTGGAAGCGGCGTAAAACTATACTCACTCGTCACAACGCCCTATTCCCTCATGGGTACAATGTCAGAAGCCCATGTCTGGTGTCCCCTGACGTGATATTGCTGGAATAGTGCTGGAAGCGGCGTAAAACTATACTCACTCGTCACAACGCCCTATTCCCTCATGTGTACAATGTCAGAAGCCCATGTCTGGTGTCCACTGACGTGATATTGCTGGAATAGTGCTGGAAGCGGCGTAAAACTATACTCACTCGTCACAACGCCCTATTCCCTCATGGGTACAATGTCAGAAGCCCATGTCTGGTGTCCCCTGACGTGATATTGCTGGAATAGTGCTGGAAGCGGCGTAATACTAGACTCACTCGTCACAACGAACGCCCCTTTCCCTCATGTGTACAATGTCAGAAGCCCATGTCTGGTGTCCCCTGACGTATTGCTGGAATAGTGCTTAACACCGCTCAAAACCTACTCGCTCACTCAAAATATATAAAAATACCTGAAAGCAGGGGTATTAAAACTACTTTTCTCTCACTCATGGTATTATTTGTAGAGTCAAATCGAGCCAAGAAGACGGTGATGTCAGTGTCCATGCACTACTACGAAGGAAAGTGTCCCGACCCTGACGTGAAGAAACAGATCAGAAAGAACTTCATTGCTGCCTTGAAGGACACGCCCTTCGCTGAGACTTGGAAGAGGTCGGACAGTAAGCCCGAGAATGTGAAAGTATGTATCAATTATATACTCTTGAATTCAACTAATTCAGACCCTTATCGTTTGTTTGTTAGTTGTTTAACGTTGTACTCAGCAACATTCAAACTATAAGATGACAACCTGTAAATAATCGAGTCTAGATCAGACAATCCGGTGATTGATGTTATGAACAACGATCCACGCCGTCGACCACTCTACGAACCAAATCACCACGTGTGACCAATGGATCCTTTGAATCGCCTCTTACGACAAGCATTGATTGCTGGAGACCATTTCATAACGTTGTACTCAGCAACATTCTAACTATATGACGACAGCCCGTAAATAATCGAGTCTAGATCAGACAATCCAGTGATTGATGCACAACGATCCACGCCGTCGACCACTCTACGAACCAAATCACCACGTGTGACCAATGGATCCTTTGAATCGCCTCTTACGACAAGCATTGATTGCTGGAGACCATTTCATAACGTTGTACTCAGCAACATTCTAACTATATGACGACAGCCCGTAAATAATCGAGTCTAGATCAGACAATCCAGTGATTGATGCACAACGATCCACGCCGTCGACCACTCTACGAACCAAATCACCACGTGTGACCAATGGATCCTTTGAATCGCCTCTTACGACAAGCATTGATTGCTGGAGACCATTTCATAACGTTGTACTCAGCAACATTCTAACTATATGACGACAGCCCGTAAATAATCGAGTCTAGATCAGACAATCCAGTGATTGATGCACAACGATCCACGCCGTCGACCACTCTACGAACCAAATCACCACGTGTGACCAATGGATCCTTTGAATCGCCTCTTACGACAAGCATTGATTGCTGGAGACCATTTCATAACGTTGTACTCAGCAACATTCTAACTATATGACGACAGCCCGTAAATAATCGAGTCTAGATCAGACAATCCAGTGATTGATGCACAACGATCCACGCCGTCGACCACTCTACGAACCAAATCACCACGTGTGACCAATGGATCCTTTGAATCGCCTCTTACAACAAGCATTGATTGCTGGAGACCATTTCAACATCGGTGTTCGCTACAGAGCAGTATTATTCAATTCTTGTTTGCACACCGTGTTAAATCTCGTGAATGTTTCTAGGTATATGGGGCGTTGGGGAAGCCATGTAGTGAAAGCGATGGCTCGTCACATCAGAACCCGGGCCGATTCCTCAAAATACGTAGTCTGTTAAGCACATTCCCCCACGCCCATCCCCTGCCGTTAGTTAGAATTAGGAACCCCTAATTTAATAAATCCTTGGTCCCTTTTTGTGGACTCTCCAACAGTACCTTAATTCTGGCGTCGACGCTGATGATAGCACAGGTCAAACTAATTTTAAACTGTAAATATTAAAGTTACAAACGATGACAGTCCTACTGTGCTACCCCGAGGGATGCCGGATTAGAATATATTTCCCCAGTAACTTGTGTTTGTCGTAAGAGGCGACTAATAGACAAGGTGTCAGGTTCGCCGACTTATATGATTGCGGGTCATCATAACCTGAGTGAGTGAGCGAGTATGGTTTTACGCCGCTTTTAGCAATATTCCAGCAATATCACTGCGGGGGACACCAGAAATGGGCTTCACACATTGTACCCATGTCGGGAATCGAACCCGGGTCTTCGGCGTGTCGAGCGAACGCTTTAACCACTAGGCTACCCGACCGCCCCTCATAACCCGAGGGCGTGGATGGATATCGTGGCTCCTAATATCAAGCACTGGATTGTTTAATCCAGACTTCATTATTTACAGGCCACCGGCATATACCTGGAATATTGCTGAGTGTGGCGTTAAACAACAACAAATAAACAAACACATCTGATCTCTCTTTCAGGTGGTGTGTGGTGCAATACGAAGTAAAAGAAGTGTCGATGGTACAAAAAAGTTCAAAATAGAAATGAAAGTTGACGTCGAAACTAATTTGAACCCCTCCATGGATATTCAAGAGGCGATGAAAACTGTTAAGACCAACGCCAAGAACATCTTGACCTTAATGAAGGAGGACATAAAGGGAGATAAATCCAAACTACTTCCGTCAAGTCTCGTTCCGAACAGGAATGTGGAAGTAGAAACGGAGGGAGTTCAGCTTCATTGTCCATCGGGGAAGTTCCCTTCATACAGAACGTATGGCTGTGGTAAGTACTGGTTCAAGCACAGCACTCCCTTCCTAGTAGGAACACAGTCGTATAAGACGCCGCAATTCAGTGTGCAGAGTTGTGCCCCTTAGGCGTACCTAAAAGCCTTCCTTTATGGCTTACCCTGATTGTGTTTCTAGTTTTTTCCGCACCACACAAGTGCTCGTGGGTTTAACCAAAGTGGCAAACGTCTAAGACCTGCAAGACTTTGGGCTTTCCTCCCAAATCAAGCTGATACGCTAATGTAACTGAAACACTGTTCAAAGCGGCATTGAGCTTCTTCGTTCACTGGTTCGCCTTAGGACATGAAAGTATCAGTGGTCTGAGACACTGCATATCGCTTTGCAGAGTTGAGTCTCTCAGCAACCGTGGTTATGTTATCACTGTTTCAGGTCCCGTTGGTTTCGCCAAACGTATTTTTGCAGGTATTTCAATGAGATCAATGTCTCTTGCAGATATAACAATGATGTCATTGTCCCTTGCAGATGTTTCAATGAGATCAATGTCCCTTGCAGATATATCAATGCTGCATTGTCCCTTTCAGGTATTTCAATGAGATCAATGTCTCTTGCAGATATATCAATGCTGCATTGTCCCTTTCAGGTATTTCAATGAGATCAATGTCTCTTGCAGATATATCAATGCTGCATTGTCCCTTGCAGGTATTTCAATGAGTTCAATGTCATATACAGATGTTTCAGAACATATATTTAAGAACTGGGAATTGTAATATACAGGTTTTTGAGATTAAATAAGGAGCGATGGTTACATGGAAATGAAGTATTTCCCTTTACATCTACCTCCAGTGGGGTGTACACAAGGCACGTTCTTCAACACGGAGACCAAGAAATGCGAGATGTGTCCTCGCGGCCGGTTCCAGGGCCACTCAGGGCAAAACGAGTGTATACCATGTCCCAGTGGCATGACAACGACGTTGGCGGGAGCTACGACACTGCAACAGTGTAGACGTATGTACTAGCTATTTCATCGTGCGTTATATTGCTATATGCAAATGTCAGCTATTTACTGGTATTATTTACTATTATATATTTTTGTCATGCCTGACTTCCTCACAGAGATCATTGGAAGTATTTTACTATTGCATAAATGTCTTGATATTTTAAAAATACTATTGTAGTAGTCTGCTTATGACTTATTTATCGATATTTGTGATCATCTTGCATTATGCGACATGTCATTGCAATAATATTCTAAATACCAGTTCATCCCAACAATGTAGATTATTTTTCATTATTCTACATATCATTGCAATAGTATTTTAAAAACCAATTCCCCCTATAGATACCCTCACCCCCTTTATTCCAAATGTCATTTCAATAGTATTCTGAGTACATATTTCATCAGCAATGACGATCTTCTTGCATTACTCTACATGTCATTGCAATTGTATTATGACTACCAATTTTACCACAATGTTCTTGGATTGTTCCCTATGGTGTCACATCCAACACATCCGCCATTGTCTAGGTTGTTGGAGGTGAGGGGAAATAAGGTTTGACGTCGCTTCCAAGATTATTGCACTTATCTAGCGACGTGCATGCACGTGTTTGTGTTTGGGTGCTTGTACTAGTCCGAACTGAAGTCGATTTATTGTGCTTCCCCACTGAGAGACCATGCCGCAGTTTAACATGAATACCCCACTCAGACACAGTATACTGACTCCGAGTCGACAGTCCTTGTTTTAGCTCCTTAATGCCGAGCGCCAGACAGGGCAACAACAAGTACCATCTTTTAACGTCTGGTGCGAGGCGGCCGGGGATTGAACCCCGGACCTTCCGCTCTCCGGGCGGACGCTCTACCACTAGACCACGGAGGCGGTCAAGGTTGTAGGAGGATCAATGGTATCAGTGCATAATGTCTGACATAGCGTTATGGGAGTGTTCTGGGTGGGTGATCACCAAATATTTAACCCGTATATTTTGGAAGAAATCAACAACAAAACATATCGTAAAACAAAAATATTTTATACCTGTTCATGTCTATAGAAACTATCGATAGAGTTTGAGAACGAAAACAAAGACGGCGATGTGCACTTGACCATGTTACTCCAGATCGTTTTGATATGCCAGCCTCACAATACTTGTTAACTGTGCTATCCATTACAGCTGAATGTCAAGCTGGCACCTTCTCCGATGATGGCGTGGAGCCATGCATGCCATGTGAGGAAGGTCACTTCCAACAGGCAAGGGGAGGTAAATCGTGCAGGCAGTGCCCAGGTGGTAAATCAACGTTGTTCCAGGGATCCAAGAATGAATCGGACTGCCAAGGTAGGATAGTATTTATGTAGCCATCGACATGTGAAGTGTCATTTGATATACTCTTATGTTTTGAAATACGTTGTTTGTCATCCTTCTGAAAAAATAATGAACTGCTGAATTCCTTTACCCGAGTCAGACCGCCTCCGTGGTCTAATGGTAGAGCGTCCGCCCGGAGAGCGAAGGGTCCGGGGTTCGATCCCCGGCCGCGTCATACCAAAATACGTTCAAAGATGGTACTCGTTGTTACCCTGTCTGGCGCTCGGCATTAAGGGGCTAAAACAAGGGCTGGTCGGCTCGGAGTCAGTAGACTGTGTCTGAGTGGGATATTCATGTTAAACTGCGGCATGGTATCTCAGTGAGCTAGCACTATGAATCGGCATCAGTCCGGACTAGTACAAGCAGCCAAACAAACACATTCGTACATGCACGTCGCTATATAAGTGCAATAATCTTGGACGCGACGTTAAAATCCATAACACCTCACCTCACCTCACCTTTACCCGAGTCTCACGCCTACGACTGCCACATGAATGTGTCGATATTTTTTATCGATTAAAGAATTACGCCTCTCCTGAGAGTAGAATATACACGTGATGTGAACATCGGAGTTAGATGAATTATTCAACAAGAAACATAAAAACGCTCACTGGAACGCAATAAGCAGCAATACATTAGGATCATGTTTACTTTTCACGTTATTTTGGCCTGGTCGTACATATATACCACTCAAAAGAACACACGATTCTTTCGTATTACTATAGTTAAACTGTCATGACTGATTAACTATTTTAAAATTTAAGAATCGGTTGTTCTTTGACTTCTTTTGAGTATTAACCATTTTCTTCATTTTTTGTAGATTTTGACCTGATGTTTTCAAACGGAGGTAGTGCACAGGATCAGATTGGCCTACATGCCAACCAGCATGTGAATGATTTCGTGATTTCATTCTGGTTGAAAGTAACGTCATCCCGGCAATCGGACGTCATGACCTTGACCTCACAAAACTCACTGCAGTGCCAGATAGACGACAACGGAAACCTTGTCATTAATTCTGAAAGGTGAGGACAAATTAACGGAGACAATAATTTGGAGGTGATTCAGGTACGAATATATGTTTGATACTTCACGTCAATACTTCACGTCAATATTTCAATACTTCACGTCAGGTCTTCACGTCTACACTTCACGTCAACACTCACGTCATCACTTCACGTCAAAGTCCTTGTCAATGTCAATGATTCACGTCAATACTTCAATGCTAAACGTCGGGACTTCACGTCAACATTTCATGTCAACACTTCACGTCAAACCTTCTTGTCAATACTTCGCGTTAATACGTCACGTCAACACTTCACGTGTACTTCGCGTCAATACTTCACGGGTTCGTGTTCGCCTCTTTCCTCAATCGCCAATAGCCTGTGAATACATACAGCCACCAAGCGGTGTAGTCACTATTTTTAACCAACGAATCAAGCCACGGCCTGATCCCAGCGAGTAGGAAACCGGCGAGTGACTTGGCCAATGAGCACTCAGATTAGATCGGCACTATTTCTCGTACGACATGTGCCGAGTCCTCGCGGCCATCTATACTCTACACATTGCTTCAACGGTAGGGTTCGCACACAGATTATGTTCGGAGTTTTGATCTCATTTCACCTCCGTGAATTAAACGCAGCCTCACGCCATAACTTCACTTTAAATAGATACGAGTGTCTATTACACAGCATGGCGGCCGTATGTATTCACGGGTGATGGAGGAACGAAGGGGAAGCAGACAAACCGTGAAGTATAGACGCCCGTAGTTATCTACCCTTGTTCCTGCAGATACACTAGATGTACCACTAGCTGAAACCCTATGAGACTACATTTCGGTCTCATAACACTTAATGGGACAGGATCGATTCCCCGCATAGGTACATTGTGTGAAGCCAATTTCTGATGTCCCCCACGATTATATTGCTTGAATAAACTCACACTCACTCAATATAAGGCCAGGAAAAAAATCTTTTTTAAAAAACAAAAATGTCGCAGGTAATTTTTTCCTATTTTCAGTGACGGAAAGCAAAAATTCAAAATAGTTATAAATAAAAATATTTTCCACTGCTCTGGCAGCAAAATGTTCACACCGTCTGTTATGGAGACTATACAAAATACTTACATGACGAGCTCTTTGATATATCAATTAATCAGAGCATGTATAGATTTGTTCTCGTGTTGTGTATTTCAGAAGTACAAGTATATTGAAAAACATCACTTCAGACCGGTGGGGGTTCTACCACATCAAGGTGACGGGGGATGCGTTCGCTGTCACTGTGGATGGAGATACAACAACGCAAGAAAGCTTTGATGACGATGCCATCGTTCTTGAAAGCACTCTGGACTTACAGTTAGGAGGTATTATTTACTTTTTATTTCTAAAACGGCCAATAATGCAATGGTTTCTACATAAATGGTCTATGTTCCTCCAACCCCTGTGAATATTACCCGTAAACATCCGAGGAAGAGAATAGGTCTTCAGCAACCCATGCTTGTCGTGAGAGATGACAAACGGGATCGGGTTGTCTACCTTCCCGAGGCAAGGGAGTTAACTGACTTTAAAAGTCCAGTTTCCACCCTTGCCGAATTACTGGGCTCGATCGTAGCGCCACCAGTGGCTATTACTAGTTATGTCCCTTCAAAGTCTCTCCTATGGACCAATCAGATTCCACCTCTCGTATCACTTGCGTTTGCTTCACACAAAATGGTGGCGCCCAGTCAGGACGATCTGATCGATAATCAAGATCTATATTGTGATAAAACGGGTCTTACATCGCGTAATGTCTCCTTCATGTGAGCACCTTGATTAAAAACATGAAAAGATTTGGAAAATACCTGCTTACAACGAGTTGGCGGTGCACATGCTTTGCAAATCCTGCAATTGATCGAATTCTGCACGACAGTTTACGAACCGGAATTTGATTTCGGTGCGCGATTTTGATTGGACTATGCATAGACTCGTTAGTCCAGCCAAAATGTAACTCCATAATACCAGCCTAGTTCGGCAAGGGTGGAAAATGGACTTTTATAGTCAGTTAACTCTCTTGCCTCGGGAAGATGGGGTGGTCAGGCTCGCTGACTTGGTTGATGCATGTCATCGCATCCCCCACATGACACTGACACGACGTGTCATGACTGACATGCTGAACAAGCTCTGTAGCTGGTGTATAACATCATTTTTACATGTAATGTACTGTTCACATCCTCAGGAGATGGTTTCGAGGGTAGCTTTCACCAAGTCAATATATGGAGTGGGGGCGAGGCTCCTGAAGCAGACGCTCGACCCAAATGCTCCCACCTTGGCACCGGGGATATCTTCTCATGGACTAGATTGGCGAAAGTACGACTCTTAAATGGATCCCTTCAAACGCCAAGCGTCTGTGATGGTAGGGAACGCCAGAGTCAGGTTTTCTCAAAAGGGGTGTTTCTGTGTGTTCTTTCTGTTTGTTGGTTTTTGTCTGTCTGCATGTATGTGTGTCTGTGTGTGTGTGTGTGTGTGTGTGTGTGTGTGTGTGTGTGTGTGTGTGTAAGTCTCTCTCTGTCTGTGGATGGCTATTTGTCCCTCTGTGTATGTCTCTGTCTATGGATATATGTCTGTGTCTGTCTCTTTCTGTGGAAGGGTGTCTGTCTGTCTGTGTCTATGTGTGTCTGTCTGTGAGTGTGTCTGTCTTTTTGTGTGTATGTGTTTGTTTGTGTGCTGGCGAGTCACTTTACAATTTACATAGGTGTCATCAAAATAAACCAGTACTTCAAGATGGTGTCATTAAAAAATGAAAACTGGACCAATACGCATTTTATTGGACGTGTGTCATAAAAGACTGACAGACTAATACAGTTGGTTTGCAAAAGTCTATCCACACGTAAGTGCCCAACTACCTGGTATATACCTGCATGTCGTAATGTGTCACTGAATATTGCTTTTCAGACACAGATGAATGTGAGGCTTCGCCATGCGTTCACGGAACGTGCACTGACGGACTGAATACACACACTTGCGACTGTGAAGAAGGATACAAGGGAGATAACTGCGAGAGTAACGAGGACAACTGTGAGTTCCACATGTGCGAGAACGGAGCTACCTGCATAGACGGGGTTCGAGACTACACGTGTACCTGTACGACTGGATTCAGTGGCAAGTTTTGCAGCGACGCTGTTGGTGAGATCTGTTCTTTATTTGGTTTTGTTTAAACTTGATTGCTGTGGTTTATATATACATATAATTGTTGGAGAAAATATTTAAATTTGTATCTCCATTCACTTCAATATTGGCTTAAAAAAAACGTGGTGAAAATTCAGCTAGGATTTAAGGGACCCGTGAAGATCCGGGGTAGAATAGGTCTTCAGCAACCCATGCTTGCCGTAAAAGACGACTATGCGTGTCGTAAGAGGCGACTAACGGAATCGGGTGGCAGACTCGCTTAAGTTGGTTGGTGATGTATCCCAACTGCATGGATCGATGTTCATGATGTCAATCACTGGTTTGTCTTGTCCAGACTCGGTTATTTTCAGACCGCCGTCAAATAGCTGCAATATTGCTGAGTGCGGCGTAAACAACAAACAAACAAACAAACAAACAAAGGATTTAAGGACGAGATTGGTAGACTCATTTATCCCGATGATAAAAGTGTCTACTTTGACTGAATGGTATGTTTACTGTAGTTATTTATACATTTCCTTGGAAAATTAATATGTTTCATAAACTTGTTCACGTTGCATCGTATTCCAGAAAATGTGAATACCGCTCATTTTCAGACATATTTTAAACACATGTCAGATCGCATATTTCAACATTTTTGATACCGATTGTGTATTTTTGTATTTTTTTAAACTTGAAATTTTTAGTGGACCCCCATTGTGGGTTCTTTTCAACGTTAGGGAGCATCACATATCAAAGATATATTTCTTAAAAGAAGTTAAAGAGCACCCGACTTTTTCATATGACTCAAGTTATTTTTTTTCATGGCTGGTGGGAATTGCAACACGCAACCTTCCATTTGTGGGTGTTCTTTAACTTATTTTGAGTAGTATATATTAACGACGCTTTTCTCTTTTTAAGCTTACCTGCTAATAAATATGAGCATGTGTACGGTACTGACAACCCTAGAAACATAATCAGGGGCGATTTTTTTTAGAATCTACGAATCTCCACAGCGGATTGTCCAGCCATGTTCGACTAAGCGACCTGTGCTTAGTTGTCTAGTTTTCTGGATATAGCATACATATGAATGTCCGTTGTTTCAGTGCATGGGGGGTGGGGCGAGTGGGGTCAGTGGTCGGAGTGTTCCAAGTCCTGTGGGGGTGGGGAGAGGACGCGAGACAGACGCTGTGACAGCCCGACCCCCTACAACGGAGGCACGCCGTGTGATGGAGAACGCCTTGAGACTGGGACATGTTCTAAAACCAGCTGCCCAGGTAGAGTATTGCAGCCATACCCCTGTTGTAGCACGTACAGTAACGCTCTACATCCCCGAGTGGCTCAATACCATCAAAGTGTACTTTGAAAGCGGTTTCGAGGTCAAAAATATAAACGGGAACAGGTTTTGAAAATCAAAATAGCGTATCGTTTTCGACCCGGAATTCACATTCACGGAGGCTCAGCATTTAAAAAATAATAAAAACACAATTGTTTCATTATTAATCGGGAATTTGCATCATTCCCCATACCAGTGTGCTCAACGATCTGAGCTGAAATTCTTTTTCACAAGTAAAGTTTATTACAGACTCGCTAAGGTTTACAGCTATTGTTTATTTACATACACGTAAAGTTAGCAGTTGTTTATTGTGTCGTAACATGAGACAAAATACATTACTCGTTTTTCAAATTACATTGAAACCTCGTTAAGTCGAACCATATTAACTCGAAATATCGTTTAAATATCGTCTTTGGGTGGGGGGCTAGCCTAGTGGTTAAAGAGTTTGCTCGTCACAACGAAGACCGGATTCGATACCCCACATTGGCACAATGTATGAAGCCAATTTCTGGTTTCCCCCACCGCGATACTGCTGGAAGATTGCTAAAAGCGGCGTAAAACAGTACTCACTTAGCCTATTGTGTATTAGCATTACTCAACTTGTCTTGATGTCTCGATGTCTCGATATAGGCCACTATATGTGTATATGTTCTCTAGTGTAACATAGCAACTGGAAGTGACACACTCAGTTCCATCAGAAAGCAAAGCCAGACTTGAAGCCAGAGCTTAGTGCTCCTTTAAAGGGGGACTCTGCTGGCTAAATGGCAGTCCAAGCAAGTTTGACTCAAGGCATTTTAACACAAATTTCTTTGGTTGCTACCTTAAATTTAATCAATGTAACAGTTAATTATTTCAGCATTTTCACTTTGTAAATGTCCACGATTAACGGCAACAATTACAGTTTCTCAACTTATTTTGGAATCGGGTGTACATTGTCCCTATAATTTTGGTTCGGGTTTCCTCGCTATTTTGTCAGGTCTTCAAATACGCCCAACAAAGCCGTTGTATTAATAGAAGAATGATCAGACTGTTTTTGTTTTGAGTTGGTGTTTCGTCTGATATTTTCAGAGTGTGAGCGGTTAGTTGCACCAGACCATGGCTCCCTTAAGTGTGAAGACTCCGCAGGTCTGCAGAGGTGTCACGTGACGTGTAAGAAAGGATACGCTTTCGAAACCAAACCACGTGACTCATATGAATGTGGTGACGTCACAGGTCATGAGTGGAACTTCCGGTCTGATGGCCCCTACAACACGTCTCTTCCAAGATGTCTGAGTGAGTGGTACCTACCGACAAACTGACCAATATCCAAAGACTGGCCCTCTATATCAGTATCTTCCCATTGGTTACATGTGTTATACACCATGTCCAATACGCACACAAATTGGGAATGGACGCATATTTTTTACATTGCGAGTTGTGGGCAAAAACGTATGGCTGTTTGAATCAAATATAACGAATCAAAATTATAGATTAAGAAATATAGTTGACATTACTGTTCTGGAAAGAGATAAACTCAAAAGTCGATTTTCTTCAATCTCAACTGCCGGGCAAAAGAAAGTATTCACATGAAAACTGGATTTGACCAAAATACAAACGTTACAAACGTTTTGAAACAGTCACAAAACGTAAGGTCCAAAACCCAACTATGATACACGTATCAAATACATGTATTTCTTGTTTGTTATATTTAGCCACTATCAAGCATGGGTGTATTCTTTCTTTTTGCCCGGCAGTTTAACATAGAAATCCCTATTTACAATAGGTTATTGGCTCCTGAGCAGGTGCAGTGATATGATATAAGTTCTGTGTTTGGAAGAGTAAAGTTTTTTCGCCGCTTTAAGCAATATTCCAGCAATATCACGGCGGGTGACACCAGAAATGGACTTCACACATTGTACCCATGTGGGTAATCGAACCCGGGTCTTCAGCGTGACGAGCCAACGCTTTAACCACTAGGCTACCCAACCGCCCCGGCAATCAAAAGAAGCGTGGGATCTGCAGCCATCCTGGGACCCCCATGGTCAGGCCTCGGACCACAAAACATATAACTGAGAATTCCCTAGACTCGAACCTAGGTAGACCTACGGCACCCCTGCTTCTATGATCTCGACTCTACTGTAAACTACGGTTGTAACGAATTCAAATGGCCCACCAATTCTAAATCGTTATAACCGTAGTTCGTTATAAGCATATATACAGCAAATTGACCGGACCCCCACAGTTCGTTTTATCCGTCCGTTCGTTATAAGGGTGGTGGTTATAAACGTAGTTTTGCTGTATTTGTAATCAGAAGTGCGCTGTATAACCCGTGGCAATAATCCTTACAACCAGGCGTAATCGGTAACCAGGTGGGGGCGGTTTGGTAGCCTAGTGGTTAAAGCGTTCCTGTCACGCCGAAGACCCGGGTTCGATTCCCGACATGGGCACAATGTGTGAAGCCCATTTCTGGTGTCCCCCGCCATGATTTTGCTGGAAAATTGCTAAAGGCGGCGTAAAACCATACTCACTCACTCACTTACTCACTCACTCACTCACTGTAACCAGGTGCTGTTATCCTTTTTTGCCACGCGTAATCTGCGTGACGTAAGCATGTAAACCGATCTTTTCTAACAGAGGTGGACGCTCCAAAAGAGATGCAGATCACCTTCAACGCTGGGTATGGTGATCTCTACTGTGATGCCAACGTCGATGACGTCATTTCCGCCGTGAACGGCGCTGCTAAACGAGAGGCCGAGAACCTGCCTTGTGCCAGATTGGGCCTTTGTTTAGTCAAGGCTACGGACGTCCAGAACTGCGCCAGGGGCGGGAGACAGAAGCGAGATGCAGCCAAACCTACTGTGGCGTTTACCATCACAGTGGCCAACTCTCCTGGATCAAGTAAGATTTGTTTTGTTTGTTGTTTAACGTCGCACTCAGCAATATTCCAGCTGTATGACGGCGGCCTGTAAACAATCAAGACTGGACCAGAAAATCCAATGAATAACATCATGAGCATCGATCCACGCAATTGTGATACGATGACATGCATCAATCAAGTCAGCGAGCCTAACCACCCGCTTCCGTTAGTCGACTCTTTTCGATTTTTACGGCAAGCATGGGTTGTTGAAGACCCATTCTACCTCGGGTCTACCTCTTAACGAGCCGGATCATGTAAGATGTTAGATGTTGTCAGTTCGAGCACAACTGGTCGAAGGCCACTACAGTTTTTAGCATTGCTCGTATAGCCATCAGATTGGTCAGGCGCCGCCTTGTTTTAATCCATCAGACACCATCATTGTGTTCGATGAGACGTCACTTGCTTGTCATGTCACTAGTGACCCTGTTCGCACGACGTGTTATCATACTTATATTTTTACAATGTGGGTCACAATCTAGATCCAGTGTCACACACAAATCTTTTACCGGTATAAACTCGAGATATCGAAATGAAAAAGTGGTGACATGTGCCGATAGCAGCATGTACGAGAATTTAAGAGCTGACATTTAGTGTAAACTCCCAAAATTTAGTCTCACGGTGTACATCTCACCTGTTACACCCCGTTCACCACGCTGTGACAAATGAAACTCACAGTACACCTTAGCGTCATCAGTACACCTGAGCGTCATCAGTCCATCTGCGCGTCTTCAGTACACCTGCGCGTCTTCAGTACACTTAATCGTCATCAGTACACCTGAGCGTCATCAGTACACCTTAACGTCATCAGTACACCTGCGCGTCATCAGTACACCTGAGCGTCATCAGTACACCTGAGCGTTTTCAGTACACCTGAGCGTCATCAGTACACCTGAGCGTCATCAGTACACCTGCGCGTCTTCAGTACACCTGTCCGTCATCAGTACACCTGCGCGTCATCAGTACACCTGAGCGTCATCAGTACACCTGCGCGTCTTCAGTACACCTGAACGTCATCAGTACGCCTGAACGTCATCAGTATTCGTTCTTGATGATGATGTTCGAGATTTTAAGAGCGCTTCCGGTCGACACAAGGTCTTCGCTCTTTTATACCAGTTATGGACTGATTTGGAATGACAATATCAAGAAAAAGAGGTTGATATAAAACATTTTCAGAGTGAAACATCTTAAAATAATTTACCACTGGTTTATCTGTGCCAGATCCTCGGGGATTACGTGTCAAAATAGACCCCCATCAGTCTGTGCTTGTAGTCAGAAACGTCGACATCGATCGGGTGGTCTGCCTCGGTGACTTGGTGGATTGAGTGTGACCCAGCCCGACAGCACATTAGCTCGTAAAATCAATTATGTAATGTGAAAACGCTGGGCAGGGAGTTCAACAACAAAGAGACTGCACTACAAAAAACAACGTGTACAAGGCACGATCACTGTATTGCCTAATCCCACACTCGTGTATTGGATTGTAGAAAAAGTGAGCGAGTTTGGTTGAACACGGCTTTGAACAGTATTTCCGATCTGTTATATCACGGCATGTCAGCTTGATGTGGGAGTAAGGCCGTACATTGGACATCTACCACTTTGGTGAAACCCACGAGCACGGGTAATGGTGCTGACAAACCAAGTAACATAAACTTGGATTCGAACACACAGTCATATGATACTGGCACGCAAACTGACTCAGCGAAAAGTGGCGTCTGAGACCAACCGAATGCGTTGTTAACTATTTGTCTTAATTACTCTCAAACAGTTCATGGATGGGTAGGTGGTTCATGTTCGAATAAAAAAATATTTAAATTAACCTAAAACAATTCCCAGTTTCATATATAATGAAACTCGTCTAAACCGGACTTGTGTGATCCAACGACAGGTCGGTTTAAAAATTGAGGTCCAGATTGAGGAGATTATAGGAGGAGAAACTGACGTAGAAATAAAGGTAATGGTGACCAGAGTCTGGTTTTGTCAGATTCCACTGTAGCTGGGATCCTGACAGGGGAACATCTTCACGAGGCAAGGGAGTTAAGTGACTCTTAAAGACCCATTCGTGACCAACTCGTGTTATTCCGGGACGGAAGGGTACGGAAAGGGGCGAGTGGTGACGAATGTAAAAGACCACTTTCCACGGGACTTTTACACTCAGTTAAATCCCTTGCCTTGGGAGGATGACAGTACAATTAACTCCTCGATGAATCCTTGGTCTCCTTGAGGGACAGTGTCTTGACACGTGCTTTCTGTTTCCGACACAGTTTTGCTCTTGCATTATCTTGATATTATCAATATACACTCTCAACGCACACTCACGTATGAATAAACTGGAGAAGGTGTGGTATATATAATAGGTGACTGATCATAGAGCTATCTTATTATCAATTTTTATCATCATCATCATCATCATCATAACCATGTCCAGTGTGCAATCAGGTGTAATTCTCAACCTCCTGGGGAGTACATAAACAAAGCTGCGGTATGATGCGCTAGATGGTTAACATTCACCATCCTCCACCATTACCGTCTCATCCTCCCGGGTACCCGTTCACTGCCGGGTGAACAGAAGTATTTTTTCAAACAAAGTCCCATGCACAAGGTGACACCACTTTTAACTGGATCAGCTAAACATCTTTGTCATGCAAGTTGCACTGAACTCAATATTAGCCGGCTTTTCAGGACAAATTGTAAGCCCAGTTATGACTAAAATGCACACACGATTCCGACTGTATCATGAGCTTATGCTCATGAATCGCTGTCATCAGGTGTTCGCGAAAAGGTGAGCCATCATGTCCGACTGGTGTCACAAACACATGCATAGGCAAGTCAGTTGTTTACCAAAGAATACGGTACGTACGGTACAAGTCAAAAAAGGGAATTGCATCGGACATCATTTTTGTCACTGGTGCGTGAAATTTCTACCATAAAAACTTTTGAAAGTTTTATTGAGGTCTTGAATGTTGTAACCCTGATTAATGTTTGAGCAAGAGTCGTATGACGTTCATCGAACACTTGATTATGACATATTCGTACTATGAATCTCATCAAAATAAGATCTTAGTTCTCGCTATCGCTAAACAAAGATCTGAGGACATTCCATTACGGGTAACGTCAGAACGACCTTTCATCCGACCAATCAAAGAGTCGCTTACGAAATCATGAAAGTGACAGTCGGAATGTGTTTTCTAATCATGCAACCTCGAAAACGTTAACACGGGGTATTCCGAACGACAGTTACGGCCCGTACGACAGATTCCGTCAAAATGATCGTCTATCTCTCTCTTCCGTGGGATAAACATTTGAACGGAGGAGGCGTTTCACAATACGTCGGAAGCACTGCCATACAATCTCAACCATATATTAGACATTCCGGGATGTTCGATTGTTCTGTTTTTAAAGTTTTAATCGAGAACTGTGTCAACATATTTTTCAAGCGAAGTCTAAAATGGCAGCCAGGTTGCAACGAGTGCCAGGTTGCAAGCTCGAGAAAGCTGCTTTCTAATTGGCTGATGTCGACTCGGTCTGACGTGACCCGTAATGGGATGTCCTCTGATCTTTGTGTAGCGGAAGCGAGAACTTAGATCTGATTTTAATGAGATCGGGTTGAGTATTGAGTAAACCGGTTTCACGTGGTTGCAATGCATATATAACCCTGCTCATTGTGACATTATATCTGAATGTGGAGTGACACAATCTCCCCAATGACAACGATGATTGAAACCCGAGTATACATAGCTTGTTGTTGTGGTATTAAACATTCACCATGCGCCATTTCAAAACAAACACTGCACGGGCGTATTTTATAACATTTATTTGTATGATGATCAATGACATAACTGCAAGACACGGACATATACATGTAGTGGAGACATTTCTAAAAGTGTGTCAATATCCGTACCACAACTCTTCAATTTGAAAGAACCTTGTGTCCACGGACGAACACTTTAGCGTCTATTAAGTGTATGTGTTCTGTTCCTTCCACTGCTAAAACTCTAAATGATCAGATGCTATCACGTGTACAAGCCATGAAAGAATGATTAAGTATGGCCTTATGCCTTGGAAAAGGCTCATAGATGGTATCAGGTACCCAAGCTGATGTTGTACCCAATGTTACACACACTGACAATGTCCGCACACAACTCTTAGATCATTAACCAGGAAATATGTACACACTGGCAATGTCCGCACACAACTCTTAGATCATTAACCAGGAAATATGTACACACTGACAATGTCCGCACACAACTCTTAGATCATTAACCAGGAAATATGTACACACTGGCAATGTCCGCACACAACTCTTAGATCATTAACCAGGAAAAAACACGCTAAAGATATATTATTTTCATGCTTTCAAACAATACAAACATGACAGACATTTGATAACGTATACATATACTGACAGACCTTGCACTTCGAACTGATTATATTTCTCTCATAAAAAACATAAATTGTTTTTTAACATACACGATTATAATTATTTGTGATAGATTTTAAACAACATTTTGATTTTTTTAAATATAATTATTAAAAACAATTGTACTTTTTAAATGATTATAAACAACATTTAGTTATTTTTTACATAATTATTAACATTTTGTACTATTTTTTATATGATCATAAACAACATTTTGTACTTTTTATATATGATTATAAACAACATTTTGTACTATCAAATATGATTATAAACAACATTTTTTTTTTTTATATGATTATAAACAACATTTTGTACTTTTTTTATATGATTATAAACAACATTTTGTTCTTTTTATATATGATTATAAACAACATTTTGTATTTTTATATATGATTATAAACAACATTTTGTACTTTTTATATATGATTATAAACAACATTTCCTGAACAAACAAAAACGCTAACATTACTTTTTGGGTTAATATATATTTGACGTTTTTAGTTATTTTTGAAAATAATCTTTTTATTTTTAAATTTCAAGTAACAAGTTTTAATTTTTCCTTGA